TCGCCTGAGACATCCTCACAAAACGGGCCCCGGGGGGGATGCCCAGAGGAGCCCAGAGCGGCCTCCGGCACCGTTTTCGGACGGATCCGTGGATCCGCTGGATCCCTGGATCCGGTGACGAATCCCAAACCGGCGCCCTCGCCTGAGACATCCTCACAAAACCGGCCCCGGGGGAGGTGCCCAGAGGAGCCCAGAGCGGCCTCCGGCACCGTTTCCGGACAGATCCGGTGGATCCGGTGACGAATCCCAAACCGGCGCCCTCGCTTGAGACATCCTCACAAAACCGGCCCCGGGGGAGGTGCCCAGAGGAGCCCAGAGCGGCCTCCGGCACCGTTTTCCGGGACTGGATCCGCTGGATCCGGTGACGAATCCCAAACCGGCGCCCTCGCTTGAGACATCCTCACAAAACCGGCCCCGGGGGAGGTGCCCAGAGGAGCCCAGAGCGGCCTCCGGCACCGTTTCCGGACAGATCCGGTGGATCCGCTGGATCCGCTGGATCCGGTGACGAATCCCAAACCGGCGCCCTCGCTTGAGACATCCTCACAAAACCGGCCCCGGGGGAGGTGCCCAGAGGAGCCCAGAGCGGCCTCCGGCACCGTTTCCGGACAGATCCGCTGGATCCGTGACGAATCCCAAACCGGCGCCCTCGCTTGAGACATCCTCACAAAACCGGCCCCGGGGGAGGTGCCCAGAGGAGCCCAGAGCGGCCTCCGGCACCGTTTCCGGACAGATCCGGACAGATCCGGTGGATCCGCGCCCCGGGGGAGGTGCCCAGAGGAGGAATGAGGAGGAGGAGGAGGAGGAGGAGGAGGAGGAGGAGGAGGAGGAGGAGGAGGAGGAGGAGGAGAAGATGATGGAGCTGCGGGGTGGAGGAGGACAGACGGAGGCAAGAGAAGGATGGAGGAGGAGGAGGAGGAGGAGGAGGAGGAGGAACCTCATCACCCTCGCCAACAAGCGCACGCACCTTCTTCTATATACAGAAACTCCCGATCAACCGCAGAGCGGCCGGCTAGTAGTTGTAGTAGTAGTCGTAGTAGTAGTAGAAGAAGAAGTAGTAGTAGCACTACTACTACTACTACTACTACGGCTACGACCTACTACGAGTACTACGACTATACGACTGCTACGACTACGATTATGATTACTACTGCTACGACCACGACGACGACGACGACCACTACAACTACTACTACTACTACTACTACTACTGCTGCTGCTGCTGCTGCTACTACTACTACTTCTACCACTTGGATTACTACTCCTACTACTACTACTACTACTACTACCACTACTACTACCACTACTACGACTACTACTACTACTACTACTACTACTACTACGACTACTACTACTACTACTACTACTACTACTAGTAGTACTACTACTACTACTTCTACTACTACTACTACTACGACTACTACTACTACTACTACTACTACTACTACTACTACTACTATTACTACTACTAGTTATTGTTGTGGCACTCGTAGTGATAGTACTCTTGGTAGGTCGGCGTCGGTAAGGACGTCGACGGAGACGACACTGGCGATGACGATGATGGCGGCGGCGGCGGAATAATCATTTTCTGGGTAGCGTTGGGCTTCCCAATCTTTCAAAGAGCCCCCGGAAAACATATTTTGGGGGTATTAAAGACTCTTCGAGGTTAAACGTCCATGCCCAGGGAAGTATGGGAAACTATGGGAAGTGGGGAGGAAGACGAACATCCAGAAATATCGAAACATACGCGGGAACATGGGAGTTGCGTCTATTATCTTACGTCTGCCTGGGCCCTTCTAAACCTCCAGCCCGAAGACGACAACGACGATGACGACGACGACGCGGACGACGAGGTCGCCCGCGACGACGACGAGGTCGCCCGCCACGACGACGACGACGACGACGACGACGACGACGACGGCGGCGGCGGCGGCGGCGGCGACGAACGTCTCCGCGCAGAGGCCCCGGCGCCGGCGCCGGCGGCGACAGGAGGCCGTCCTCGGGCCCGGGCAGCCGGCCCAGCCTGCCGCCAGCCGCGGCCCCGAAGGCGCCGGAGCGTCGGGCGGGGGCGAGGCGTCCTGGCTTGCCTGTGGGCTCACGGTTCGGCCACGCGCAGCGTTTGTTTAGATATTTATGTTATATCCATATATATATATATACATATGTGTATACATATATATAGGTACGTATAAGTAAATACATATATATACATATATATATATATGTATATATATATATGTATTTATGTATGTACGTATGTATACGTGTGTATATGGTAATGCGAATCATAATAATATTCATAATTCGAGTGTGAATAATACTAATCGTAGTAGTAATAGAAGGAGTAAGCAAAACAGCAGCAGCAAAACAAACGTATGATCTAGCACGCGCAGGGCACCCCTGTGGCAAGACCACGTGGGGCGGCGGATCCCAGAAAGCGTGCGTAGCGTCGCGATCCGTTAGTTGGGAGAAATAACAAGGGGGGGGAGGGGGGAAACCGGGGCGCAGATCTAATTGCCCAGATTTCGGCCATTTCCGGCCCACGACGGCCCAAGTCAGCCCCAAGAGCGCCTCAGAGGCCCTCACGACGGCCCAAGACAGTCCCAAGGATGCCCAAGCTACCTCCAAGACAGCGTCGGAGAGGTCCAAGAGGGCGCGAAGAAGGCAAATGAGCACTCAAAGAGGGCACAACATGGCTTCAAGACGGCCCAAGAGGCGCCCAAGACGCCGCAGGAGGTCTCCAAGAGGCAAATCTCGTCCCAATTCCTTTTGGAAGATGTTCATTTTAGCAGATTGGCTTCTTTGGTCTTCAAGTGTCCAAGACGGCCCAAGAGGCTCCGAAGACCGCCCCAGGACGGCCTCAGAGGTCCCAGCGAGCGCTCCCAGACGGCCCAAGAGGGCTCCAAGATGGCCGAAGGGAGCTCCAAGACGGCCCAAGACGGGTCCCAGAGGGCCCCGAAAGGTTCCCAAGAGAGCCCCAAGAGGGCCACAGGAGGTCCCCAAGAGCGCCCCCAGGGAGCCCCAAGACGGCCCAAGCCCGCCAAGACGGCCCAAGAGGGTCCTGGGACGGCTCAGGAGAGCCCCAAGACGGCCCAAAAGAGCCCCAAAAGGACCCCCAGGAAGGCCCGGACACGCAATTTCATTGATTTTCGCGCTTTTTGTTAGATTCTTGCATGTCGTGCCAAAGCCTTCGCACCAGCAGGGCTCCAAGACATTAGCCAGCGACCTCGCGCCCTCACAGAAAGAACCCGCGCTTTCCGTTTATGCCAAGCAGGTGATTTAGCACGCTTGGCACCCCTGTGGCAAGACCACAGGGAGGCGGTGGATCGAATGCATTTGGGCCAATCCCGTCACCTTGCCTGGGTTGTGGGTCGGAGTCCTCAGGGATGCTTCTCGGGGTCTCCAGGGAGCGCCCTCGGGGCCTCCTGGGGGCAGTCCGCACGACGCGAAGCTGCAGCACCATGTTTCCAGAGCGCCAACTGGGCTCCATGTCTGGCGTACTTCTGGGATAGTCGGCTGCGCGCAGAGGGGGGGTCTAGGGGGAGGGGGGGAAGGCTTCTTAGAAGCACCGCTGCTTCTCAGAAGGCAAAGGGCCTTGCCTAAGTACAGATGCAAGGCCGTCGCCTTCTAAGAAGCAGCCTCTTCCTAAGACCCCTTCCCCTCTTCCCCCATACCCCCTTGTACGCGCCACCAACTGTAGGCCCAACGAATGATTGATCTAAGAACCTCTGGTGGTCTGCGCGAGAGGTTCTCAGATCATTCCCGGCAGAGGCTTCCTTGTTGCAGTCCAGCGGCTTCTACTATCAGAACGTTCGTTCGAAGACCCTCCCGTGGTAGGTAGGCCTATAGGCATGCCGGGACGGTCGGTCCCTGCTCAATTGCGGAGCGCGCGCGCGGGCGGCGATCAGCTGGCAGGCAGCCGCTCCGGGGAAGGATCGGAGCCTCGAGGCCCGAGGCCCGAAAGATCGAAGGCTCGAGGCCTCGAAGCCTCGGGGGATCGAGGATCGAGGGATCGAGGATCGATGCACCAGAGGACCAAATGATCGAGGAGGAGGAGTGGGAGGAGGAGGAGGAGGAGGAGGAGGAGGAGGAGGAGGAGGAAGACCAGTGGAAACCCAAGAGCCATCAATGATGTTGGAATAAACCCTCCCTCCAAGGTCCCACTTCATAGGCCCCATACAAGGGTTCGCTTCCACTGAGGGAACTGCCTCTTGGAAGACAACCGTTTGAAGACCCTGACGCATGCCAAAACATCGTTCTCGGGATTCCAACGCCACGGATCAACCTGACTGTTGCGTCTTGACGATGCTGGATCGTGCCAGGACGCCGATCTTGGGGCGTCAACACCGCGAATCAACATAACTGTTGCACCCTCACAATCCGGAATCCTTCCAAACACCCTTTCTTGTTTACTGATCGTGGGACTCCGTGAAACTCTTGCGTTGCACATATATATATATATATATAGAGAGAGAGAGAGAGAGAGAGAGAGAGAGAGAGAGAGAGAGAGAGAGAGAGAGAGAGAAAAACAAAAAAATCCTCTTCCTATATTTTTACAAGCCTGGGCGGGGGGACCCCCCCAAAAAAACCGGACTTCTGGGATCTGGACCTTTGGGACCCTCCTGACGGGCCTCGAAGCGGCCCCTGGGCCTCGCAGGGCGTTTTGCAAGCCTTTCCAGCACACTTGGGGCGATCAGGGGGGTCATCGGAGACGTCCTAGAAACCCCCAAGACAGCACAAGAGCGCTCCAAGAGTGACCGACGGCCCCAAAGAGGCCTCCCAGAGCACTCCCAAGAAGGCCCCCAGAGGCAAAAATCACTGATTTTCATTTGGTTTTTGGTGAATGTTGGGGTTCTCCTCTTTTCGGCTTCCCGACGCTCCAAGACGGCGGTCTTCTGGGCGTCCGAAGCCGCCTGGGAGGCTCCAAAATCGCCCCACAACCATCCGAAAGGGTTTCTAGGCAGTCCAAGAGAGCCCCCAAACGGCACAACACGGGTCCAAGATGGCCCTCAGAGAGCCCCATGGCGGCCCAAGATGGCCCAAAGACACCCTCCGAAGCATTCCAAATCGTGACCCGGTCGTTCAGGAAGACTGCGGTTGGAGGCAGGGTGGCCCGAGGAAGCCCCCAGAGGCCCCCAGAATACGCCCAGGAGGCCTCCAGAAGGCCTTAAGAAAGCCTGAAACAATTTTTGTGAGGCCCCCAGAGGCTCTCCGAGGAGGAGCCTCCGCCAAAAAGAGCCGAGGGGGGTGGGGAGAAAGCGCAGGGTGTGGCGAAAAGAAGGAAAATTAAGCATGGAGGAAGGATAATGAATAACAATGTTCTAGCGTCGATGCCGGAAGAGGCAACAAGGAGTTATCGCTAAATTGTCGGTTTGACCTTCTTGCTTCTCCGCCTGCATACCAAACTTCAAGGACCAAGGTGCATGGCGCGAAGCGCCACTGCAGATTTGTATATATATATATATATATATACATATATATGCATATATATGTATGTATGTATGTATATATATATATATATATATATATATATATAAAGTGCGCGGCGCAAAGGTGAGAGCAACATGTTGAAAAGGAACCGCCCTCAATCCGTGAAACTCTGGCAGTTTTTCAAATAAAGAACATATGCGCGGCGCTAAGGCGAGATCCACATGATGAAAACGACCCACCCTCAACCCGTGAAACTCACTGCACATGATTAAAAACGAATGTGTGTGGCGCTAAAGCGAGAGCCTCATTTTGAAAACGACCCGCACTCCATCTTTGAAACTGTTGTCAGTTTAAGCTTCAGGGTCATAAATGGTGAGGAAGTCTCAGGCGAAACGCCCGGACCGCCCTAAAAACTGGCCTCGGGGTGCGACAGGGAGAAGTTATTTAGCAGGAATAGGAACGGAGAGGATCGAGGGGTCGAGGATCGATGGGCCGAAGGACGAAAGGACCGAGGATGTCGCCGACGTCGTCGCCCTCCCCCGGGCCGGGCCCGAGGCCGTCGGCGCGCTCTCGAGGGCCGACGGCGTCGGGCCTCCTGGGAGGCCCGCCGTCGCCACGGCTGGGGCTCCCCTCAAAGTTCCTGGACGGCTCCTCCTCCTCCTCCTCCTCCTCCTCCTCCTCCTCCTCCTCCTCCTCCTCCTCCTCCTCTCCTCCTCCCTCGTCCTTCTCCTCCTCCTCCTCCTCCTCCTCCTCCTCCTCGAAGCAGGAGGGGCTGCAGGTTTGCAGAATGAGAAGCCGGCGCCGCATGGCAGCCCCGGAGCTCGTTCCGGCCTCCTGGAAAGCACTTCGGCGCGCCCTGCCTGCACTTGCAGCGTGTCCCAGCCGGCCTTCTTCCAGGCGTTTCCCAACACGTCTGCCGGGAAGCTCTCCAGAAGCTCCTTTTGGAAGCTCTTTTCAGGAGCTTCCAGAGCTCCCTCAACAGGCCTTTGGGCGGCCTTCTGGTGCTCTGCTATCCGGTTTTGGACTGCACAAATGGGAATATTCTGGTTGGAGTGTGCGCCTTGTAAGGTTTAAGTCGGGCATGTTCCTCTACAGGAGGAATATACCAGAATGGTAACACAAATAGTTTGGTGACGATGTTTTTTTGAGTTTTCTATGACCGTTCTTGATTTTTCATCCAAAGCCCGCCAGTAGGAGGACATGCTCGACCTAACCCTGGAAAGGGCCAGCCGGCTTCTGCAGAGCACGTGTCACCATGTGGGAAGCGCGGGTCCCGATGGAAACGGGTTTTGAGGTTTTCGATGCTTTCGGTTTCTCGGGGACCTCCACGGGTCCTGGGACTGTCAGACAACGATTCAGGATGAAAAGCTTGTCCTGGGGGAAGGCGCCAGGGTCCAGGACCCGCTTCCCTCAGGACGCGTTTCTCCCATGGAACATGTACCGTGCACATTCTTCCACGCACAGAACAAAATTAGTGATGGATGTTGTAATGGAATTGTGGACGTGCGCTGTGGTGGGGAATGAACGAGGGCACACCTAGAGTCACCTCAGAAGCCACAGAAGATACATCCCCAGGCCGACAGTTTTTCCTCTTGGACCAAATGTATGAGAACACCGATGGATACAATTGGATCATTTTCGAGTTTGCGACAGTGTCGTGGATCCTACTTCTGTCTTGTAATTTTCAGTGTGTGCAAAACCAATGGATTCATTTATTTTCCGGGAATGAGTATATCCGTAAGGGCTTCGCCCCTTGCCGCCGGCCCCCTCTCTCGGATAACGGGCAGTGCAAGAGCGAAATCATGAGGCTTTGGCGCCGCCGTGAAGCAGCGTCGGGACTTCACGCGAAGACGATGAGTAATCGGCAAGACAAGTTGAGATTCTGATGATATTGTTGAAATTGGTGTTGTATTTCGAGCTTGCTCGCGTATGCTGTGCAAAAATCCGTTCTACGAAGTATTGGAATGTTGCAGATCCCATTTGTTTTTTGACCCTGACTCCGCCGATCTGCGTGAGGGGTGCCGCCGAATTTGGGGTGCCGCCGAATTTCAGAAATGTGGCAAATCCCATTCGTTTTTCGACCCTGCCCCCGCCGATCTGCGTGAGGGGCGCCGCCGAATTTCAGAACTATGGCAAATCCCATTTGTTTTTCGACCCTGACCCTGCCGATCTGCGTGAGGGGTGCCGCCGAATGTCAGAAATGTGGCAAATCCCATTGGTTTTTGGACCCTGACCCCGCCGATCTGCGTGAGGGGTGCCGCCGAATTTCAAAAATGTGGCAAATCCCATAGGTTTTTCGACCCTGACTCCGCCGATCTGCGTGAGGTGTGTCGCCGAATTTCAGAAATGTAGCAAATCCCATTGGTTTTTCGACTCTGATTCCGCCGATCTGCGTGAGGTGTGCTACCGAATGTCAGAAATGTAGCAAATCCCATGTGTTTTTGGACCCTGGCCCCGCCGATCTGCGTGAGAGGTGTCAATTTCGACCCCCTCAGAAATTCAGAGAACCTTCCCAGGAGACGCTAGGTTTGCTGGTTTTCGGCTACCCCCCCTCGCGCGGTCTACAGCAAGGAACAGGCAGCAGCTTAAAGTAACATTATAACAGTGGAAACTGGACACTGGAACTGGCGCAGGGAACAGCAAACCCTGGTCCTACAGTCTGGTGGCCCCACAAGGGGGCCGGCGGATCATAATATGTAACATCCTGGACCCAGGGGAAATGGGATCCGCGGGGCACCGCACGTGAAGCCTCATGCTATCCACGGAACTGTGGATCTGCAGACCAAAGCAATGATTCTACGGGGGAGGGGTTTTTTCCCAGGACGGAGAGGGGAAGGAGGAGGGAGGAGGCACGAGGAGGGGGGAGGAGGGGAGGAGAGACGGGAGGAGGGAGGAGAGAGGAGGAACAATCAGGGAGGAGGGGGGGAGGAAGGAAGAGAGGGGAGGAGAAGGAGGGAGGAAGGTTGCGGAAGGAGGAAGGAGGAACGAGGAGGATGTATGGGGGAGGAGGGAGGTTGGAGGAGGAGGGAGGACGGGGAGCATGAGGACACACAAGCAGAGTGTCAGGATCGGAGGCTCGAGCAGCACAGCGGGCCCGGCCGCCTCCCTCAGTTCCCCCCATGCCGTACGGCACGCCCCAAGCCGCAGAGGACGCCACATGTATCCTCTCGCCTGAACGGCACGTCGCTTCCGACATTTGGGGCTCAAGAGGAAAATTATTCGGCCTGCGTAAGCAGGTGAGCGTCTCCCACAAGTGGGTTGCGACGCAGTCATGGGTTTCCACGAACAGCTGCCCATCGCACACTCTTCTGCCCAGGTGTCCTTCCAGATTCTTGGCTCAGTGGTGGTGGTGGTGGTGGAGTAGATCACTTGTGCGGCAGAACGCTCTAGAGTTGTGGGGCAGCCCGAAAGGTCAGGGACGGGATTTTTGACCTCTGGATCGAAGTTCCTAGATCTCCGACGAGAGTGATGTGTCCTCAATACATTGGTGTTTCTGTGATTTCGGCCCCTGGGGCTCTCTGACTCTAGATCCGTTGTGCTGTGGGCGATTTCGTAAGCAAGGCGGCGGCTGCGCTGCAGGGGAGGGATGTCGAGAGAATGTCAGGGGCAACGTTAGGAGGGGATAGGCTCAGGGGCTTCGAAGTTTTGGTATCGAGTTTCGATTACAGGGTGGCTTTGTTCGTCCTGGGCGACCTCGTGGCCGCGGCTGGATCCGTCTCGAATTGTTGGTGGGACCTCTGATGGGGTCACGAGGACAGCGACGTCGGAGTTCCGGGAGCAGGGAGCGGTGGCGATGTTTCGCCACCGATCCCCGGGCCCCCAAAAAAACAAAGTCAGGCCTTCTGGAAGAAGGGGGGGACCTCGGGGACCCCCCCACCAGAGGCTGTTCCAACGCACTCCAGAGGAAGAGGGGGCAGGAGGAGGAGGAGGCGGAGGAGGAGAAGGATTTGTTGTTGCCATTGACGGCTGCCAAGCTGCCCACATACACCCTGGTGGGCGGCGGGCGATTCCACCCCAGGGAAAGAAAAAAAGGAAAAGCAAACTGCGAGCACAGCAGCAGCGACTAGTCTGAACCATGGCTCGCAGCAGGCGCCGCCGAACCGACGGAGGCCTCGAGAAAGCAGCACCCTCCTCATCATCTAGCCTGCGGATCTCCAGCTGGGCCTGGTCCCCTGGCTCGACCTTGCAGTCTGGCTCTACCTCGCTGGGTTCAGCAAGGCTGGGTGCGCTGTGCAACCCACGGCCACCCTCCACCCCCTGACGAGAACGAAGGCGCCCCCCAGAGCGCTGGCCCCCAGGTTCCACCTGGCACCCTGGCACAAGGGGGGGGCGCAACCGCATGCGCCTGAAGCGCATACATCAGGCACATCGCGTCAACGTCAACTGTAGCCCAAGGCTTCTTGGGCGAAGAAAGGAGCCCGCGTTGGAGTTTGGACCACGGGTTCATGTGCGTATCGGCCTTCTGTGGCTCACACGTCTTGCCGAGGTTGACAAGCCGAGCGCCAAGGGTCATATAGCTGCATCTTTGGCAGATGCACAAGAGATACCCGTCGGGAGGAGGAGGAGGAGGAGGAGAAGGAGGAGGAGGAGGAGGAGGAGGAGGAGGAGGAGGAGAGGAGAGCGGAGGGGGAGGATGGATGTAGGAGGAGGACGAGGGGGATATGATGGAGAGGGTGGAATTAGGAGCAGGGGAGGAGGGGGGAAGAGAAACGTGAGGAAGAGAGGGTGTAGGAGTGGAAAAGAAAGTGGAGGAAGAGCGGGAGGACGAGATGGAAAGGCGCAGTTGGAGGAGGAGGAGGAGAAGGAGGAGGAGGAGGACTTACCAGTGCAAACCTAAGACGCATCAGCGATGGCGCAATCCGACCTCCATGTTCCCTACGTAACCATCGGCGCCCACAAGAATGCATGCTCGTTATGGGAACTGCCCCATTGAAAGACAACCGTCTGATAATTCTCAATCGTGCCAAAGCACCGTTCCGGGAACTTCAACGCCGCGGATCAACGCGACTGTTGCGTCTTGGCAATCCTAACTCGTGCCAGGATACCAGTATTGGGACTTCGACCAGAAGAACCGTTGAAACGGGTGCAATCATTATAGACCTCAGTGCTCGGCGCTAGGGGAGAGCCACATAGTGAAAATGAATCGCCCCCCCCCAGACTTAGCGCGTTTGCGAATTTTGTGAAGACGAATGCGCGCGGCGCTAAGGTGCGAGCCACAGTATGACAACCACTCGCCCTCCATTCGTGAACTTGCTGCAACATTCAATCTTCGGGGTGGTAAATGGCGAGAAGGTCCCAGGCGAAACGCCCGGAAAACCCTACGGACACGTCTGGAGATGCGATAGGGAAGAGTTATTTAAAAGGAAAATGAGGAAAAGGAACGGAGGAGAGTGAGGGGGATCATGAGAAGGAGGAGGAGGAGGAGGAGGCGGAGGAGGAGAAGGAGGAGGAGGAGGAGGAGGAGGAGGAGGAGGCGGAGGGAGGAGGCGGTGGATGAGGAGGAGGAGGTTTAGGTGGAGGTGGAAAGAGGAGGAGGAGGAGGAGGAGGAGGAGGAGGAGGGAAAGGAGGGGGAGGGAGAGGAGGACGGGGAGGAGGGGGATGGGGGGGGGGAGGAGCAGGAGGGGGAGGAGGGGGAGGAGGGGGAGAATGTGAGGGGCAGGAGGCGATGAGGGGGGAGGCGGAGGAGGAGGATGAGGAGGAGGAGGAGGAGGAGGAGGAGGAGGAGGAGGAGGATGGAGGGGGGGGAGGAGGAGGAGGAGGAGGAGGAGGAGGAGGAGCAGCAGAAGGAGGAGGAGGAGGAGGAGGAGGAGGAGGAGGAAGAGGGGAAGGAGGAGGGGGAGCACGGTCAGGAGGGGAGGAGGGGCAGCAGGCCAGGTGAGGAGGAAGGGAGGCGGAGTAGAAGGAGGAGGCCGCACGGAGGCTGGCCCCGCGCCAAGCGTCGCCCCCCGGGCCAGCTCGCGCCCGCCGGCCCGCCGCCCCCCCCCGTCGCCGACAACGCCGCCGACGACGGCGTCGCCGCCGACATCGCCGCCGACGTCGACGGCTTCGACGGCGGCGACGACGGCGACGACGACGACGATGACGACGGCGACGGCGACGGGGCGGAGTCGACGACGACGGCGACGACGACGGACGGACGACGACGACGGCGCCGCCTCGCCGCCCGCCGCCGTGCCCAGAGGCCGCGGCCCGCCCCCCCGCCGATGGCGGCGGCGGCGTCGCCGACGACGACATGGCAGCAATGGCGCCAACCTCGGCGACGCCGACGTCGACAGGGGCGACGTCGTCGACGACGTCGCGACGACCAGACCTCCAACACACCGAAGGATTCAGTGCGGAAGTTTTCCCCCCTCTGATTCAGTCGGGTTCAAGCAGTGGCCCCAGCCAGAAGATGTTGGCCCCCCACGTGCAGTAGTCTTCCCAGAGCTGTAGGTCAGCTCTATAGCGCCACCTGTCAGAGGAGCTTGGCGCGCAGTTAGGCAAGAGGCAAGAGGAGGAGGAGGAGGAGGAGGTGGAGGAGGAGGAGGGGAGGAAGAGGAGGAGGAGGAAGAGGAGGGGGTCCCGAATCCTGACCTGAAGGCCCGACCCCCAATACATGTCACAAAAGAACGAGACGGAGGCCTCTCGCCGCTTTGTCGGCCCCGTCGGGGCCCTTGCGGGGCTTCGGTTCCGTCCATCAACGGCTCGGGGCGAGAAGTTGGCCTTGGGGATACAGTCGACGCGCCTAGTAAGGACGCGCGCATTCATCCAGGGTGCCCTTGTGTCCTTGCCTCTGCGGGCCGTCCTTTGCCAGTTTCACTGGTCGCCCGCCGCCCAACAAAAAAATCCAATTTCGGCCTCCAAGGCTCTTGTGTCCTTACCACCCGTCCTGGATATACGTTTTATTTGTCGGGTCGGGACTTCGGGGGGGGGACCGTATTAAGAAAAACAAGACATCGGATCTTTGGTTTGCGGCTTCGGCGGCGGTCGGCAACGATGTCGACGACCACGACGACGGTTCGAGGTTCGATCCCCCTCGATCATCCTCGATCCTCCTCGCCAATCGCTCCTCCTCGATCCTCGATGCTCCTCGATCCTCCTCTTCGATCTCTCCTCGATCCTCCTCAATCTTCCTCTTCGATCTCTCCATCTTTCCTCCTCGCGGTGGGGTGTGATGGTGGCGCTCGCGGTGCTGCGGTTACGGCCCCGAGGGGCCTTTCACCACATGAGCAGTCCAATGAGCAGTTCTCGATTCTCGATCTGGTCCTCCTGGACCCTCGAGCCTCCTCGATCCTCGCTCCTCCTCCCCTTCCTCCCCGATCCTCGATCCTCCTTCCCGAGCCTCGTCCCCTCGGTCCTCGATCCTCGATCAACCCTACGATTCTCGATCCTCGACCCTCGATCCTCATCCTCGATCCTCGACCCATCCCCCCCCCCCCCGAGCCGCCACTCGGTCGGAGGCGGCGACGACGGCGGCAGCGGCGCGTCGACGGCGAGAGATGTCCCCACCCCCCTGGGAGCAAAGAAAAGCGCCACCATGGCCACCACCAGGGGGGTGCCACCTTCAGCGAGGAGGTCCACGATGCCCCCCCCAAGTCGGGGATGGTCCAGTCACAGCAAAGAAACACAACCACAACGAAGTCGATATTTCGGGAGGGCCCCTCGGGGGAGAACCCACCGACCTCGACACGAGAACTCTGTGCTGTGATTGTGGTTGTTGCTGCCATCCTGGGACGCCACGTCGACCACAACACCATTACGACGCTGGTGTTGTTGTTCCGAAAGCTTTCCGGCAGGCTGAAGACGTCCCCCAGGGTGTGTTCTCGATGTGGTTGTGGTCGCTAGCTGTCCCCGCAGAGGGGAGGGGGAGGATAAGGAAGGAGGAGGAGGAGGAGGAGGAGGAGGAGGAGGAGGAGGAGGAGGAGCAGGGGAGGAGGCGGAGGAGGAGGAGAGGGAGAAGGAGGAGGAGGAGGCGGATGAGGAGAGGAAGGAGGAAGGAGGAGGAGGCGGAGGAGGAGGAGGAGGAGGAGGAGGAGGGAGGAGGAGCAGAGGGAGGAGGAGGAGGAGGCGGAGGAGGAGGAGGAGGAGGAGAGGAGGAGGAGGAGGAGGAGGAGGAGGAGGAGGAGGACGGCGGAGGAGGAGGAGGAGGACGGCGGAGGAGGAGGAGGAGGAGGAGGACGCGAGAGGTGCCTCTATCCCCCTGAGAGCAAAGAAAGCGCCACCATGGCAACCACCAGGGGGGTGCCACCTTCAGCGAGAAGGTCCACGATGCACCCCCCCGAGCCAGAGATGGTCCAGGCACACCAAAAAATTAACCTGGCGAAGGACCCAACCATATGCAGTTGTGAGCACCGTCGTTGCATGCACTGCATTCGGAGGAGCTCCCTATAGGACCACGAAACGTGTGAGGGGTGTGCCAAAATTTGTCCGGTGGGCGCATGCGAACGCAGCCACGGGCCTGCTGTGGAGCTCCCCATGGGGCCTCGAAACGTGTGAGGGGTGTGCCGAAATAGGTGCGGTGTGCGCATGCGAACGCAGCCACTCGGGCCGTTGGTGGAGCTCCCTACGGGGCCGCGAAGCGTGTGAGGGGTGTGCCGAAATGGGTGCGGTGGGCGCATGCGGGCGGTGTCACTGGTGCCTTCGGCCTTCGGTGGAGCTCCCTATGGGGCCTCGAAACGTGTGTTGGGTGTGCTGGAATGGGCGTGGGTGACGCATGCGGGCGGTGGCACCGGGGCCTTCGTTGGAGCTCCCTATGGGGCCACGAAGTGAGTGAGGGGTGGGTGTGGGTGACGCATGCAGGCGGTGGCTCTGGGGCCTTCGGTGGAGCTTCCTATTGGGCCACGAAGCGTGTGATGGGTGTGCTGGAACGGGTGTGGACGCATGCGGGCGGTGGCATTGGGGCTTTCGGTGGAGCTCCCAATGGGGCTTCGAACCGTGTGATGGGTGTGCCGGAATGTGTGTGGGTGACGCATGCGGGCGGTGGCACTGGCCTTCGTTGAAGCGCCCTATGGGGCCACGAAGCGTGCGAGGGGTGTGCCGACACGGGTGTGGGTGACGCATGCGGGCGGTGGCATTGGGGCCTTCGGTGGTGCTCCCTATGGGGCCACGAAACGTGTGAGAGGTGTGCCGAAATGGGTGTGATTGACGCATGCGGGCGGTTGCACTGTGGCCTTCGGTGGAGCTCCCCATGGGGCCACGAAACGTGTGATGGGTGTGCCGGAATGGGTGTTGGTGACGTATGCGGGCGGTGGCACTGGGGCTTTGGGTGGAGCTCCCAGTATGGCCTCGAAACGTGTGAGGGGTGTGCCGAAATGGGTGTGGGTGACGCATGCGGGCGTGTCACTAGTGCCTTCGCTGGTGCTCCCTATGGTGCCACGAAACGTGCGAGGGGTGTGCCGACATGGGGCTGGGTGACGCATGCGGGCGGTGGCACTGGGGCCTTCGGTGGAGCTCCCAATGGGGCCTCGAAACGTGTGATGGGTGTGCCGAAATGGATGTGGGTGACGCATGCGGGCGGTGGCACTGGGGCCTTCGGTGGAGCTCGCTATGGGGCCACGAAGCGTGTGAGGGGTGTGCCGAAATGGGTGTGGGTGACGCATGCGGGCGGTGGCACTGGGTCCTTCGGTGGAGCTCCCCATGGGGCCACGAAGCGCTGTACTGGGTGGGTGAAACGCAGGGAGGCGGGAGGAGGGGGAGCAGGGGGAGGAGGAGTGAGTGACGCGGGGCGCCGTCTCTTCAAAACGAGGACCCAACACCACAGGATGGATGGGAATAACACAACCACAACGAAGTCGATATTTCGGGAGGGCCCCTCGGGTGAGAACCCACCGACCTCGACACGAGCACTCTGGGCTGTGGTTGTAGTTGATGCGGCCGTCCTGGGACCCCACGTCGACCACAACACCATTACGACGCTGGTGTTGTTGTTTCGAAAGCTTTCCGGCAGGCGCAAGACATCCCCCCGGGTGTGTTTTCGATAGGGTTGTGGTCGTTTGCTGTCCCCGCAGAGGGGAGGATGAGGAGGAGGAGGAGGAGGCGGAGGAGGAGGAGGAGGAGGAGGAGGAGGAGGAGGAGGAGGAGGAGGGAGGAGGAGGAGGACTAATGCCACAGGGTGACCTAAGGTCGGTCTAACGTAAGACGGAAGAGGAGAAGGAGGAGGAGGAGGACCAGTGTAAACCCAAGAGTCGTCAATGATGATGGAATTAACCCTCCCTCCAAGCTCCCTCGTCATAGGTCATACAACGGTTCATGTCCATTGAGGGAATTGCCTCGTTGGATGACAACCGTTTGAAGACCTTGACGCATGCCAAAACATTGTTCTCGAGACTTCCACGCCACGGATCAACCTGACTGCTGCGTCCTGACGATCTGGAATCGTGCCAGAACGCCATTTTATGGGACTTCAACACCGCGAATCAACATAACTGTTGCACCCGCATGCTCCCTAATGCTTCCAAAACACCATTGTTGGTACGTTGGTTATGGGAACCCGTGAAACGCTTGCAATTTGTTGAAATTGAATGTGCGCGGCGCTAAGGCGAGAGCCACATTTTGAACAGGAACCGCCCTCAATCCGTGAAACTCTTGCAACTGTTTAAAACGAATGTGCGCGGCGCTAAGGCGAGAGCCACATTTTGAAACCACCCGCCCTGAATCAATGAAACTCTGGCAACTGTTTAAAATGAATGTGCGTGGCGCTAAGGCGAGAGCCACATTTTGAAACCTCCCGCCCTCAATCCGTGAAACTCTTGCAACTGTTTAAAACGAATGTGCGCGGCGCTACGGCGAGAGCCACATTCTGAAAAATTCCCGCCCTGAATATGTGAAACTTGTGCAAACGTTTAAAACGAATGTGCGCGGCGCTAGGGCGGAGAGCCACATTTTGAAAGCCTTCCGCCCCCAATCCGTGAATCTCTGGCACATGTTTAAAACGAATGTGGGCGGCGCTACGGCGAGAGCCACATTTTGAAAGCCTCCCGCCCTGAATCCGTGAAACTCTGGCAACTGTGAAAAACAATGTGCGCTGCGCTAAGGCGAGAGCCACATTTTGGAAACCTCCCGCCCTGAATCCGTGAAGCTTGTGCACATGTTTAAAACGAATGTGCGCGGCGCTACGGCGAGAACCACATTTTGAAATCCACCCGCCGTGAATCCGTGAAACTCTTACAACTGTTTAAAACGGAGGTGCGCGGCGCGCAGGCGAGAGCCACATCTTGAAAACGACCCGTCCTCCATCTTTGGAACTGCTGCCATTTTCTAAGCTTCAGAGTGTTAAGGCCCAGTGAAGCGACCACCCCCCCCCTTCAAGTTTTCGTTCAGTGCGTCGCCCGAGCGTCGCCCGTGCGCCGGCCCTGGTTTGCGTCTCTGTCCCGAATCCCGGCCTCCCAGAGTGCGTGGGCGACATATGGCGCGACTTCGGAATTGCTCTGGCGATATATAGGTTTCCGACGCCCGTGCACCAGCAGCCATTTTGGCGGTCGCGGCGCACTCCTAGTTCGACGGTCCACCAACGCGTTCTGTTCCCAATTCGGCGCAAGAGGATTTGCTGGTGCTCATTGTCGGGGGCGCCAACCGTTGCTGAGGACGAATACGCCTCGCGTTGATTGGGGGCTGTGCGTGTCGCGCCCCGGTGGGGGTGACGTCGCGTCGCGCGACGCGGCGCCACTTCGCCCCGTCGCATCGCGCCCCGCACCCCCATGTCGTTTCGCTCCAATCCTCCTGCCCCCCCCTCTTCCTTCCTCTTCCCCTCGTCCAACGCGCTGCGCGTTTTGTCCCGTTTACGAAATTTGTATTCAGTTCTTTTATGTCAGGCTGCCGTCCTGTCCGCCTCCCTACTCGCCCCCCGTTGTCCTTCCACCCTCCTGGAACTTCTTCTCGCCCTCCTCGCTCCCGCCGCCCCCATTTCGATCGCCTTCCATCGCTCCCGCCGCCGCTGCGCCGCCCCCGCGCGCCCCCTCCTCGCCCGTCCGTTCCCATTTCCGCCCGCCCTTCCCTCGCCTCACTTCCATCTTCTTTTCCCCCCCAATGCATCGGCGGGCGAGACGTCGCCAAATTGCTGCAGCGACGGACCGATGTTCAACATCTGACGGGGCGTGCGCTTGAAATGGATTAGTCCGTGCGCGCTGCATCTCCATGTCGTCTCTTGGTCTCCTCGCGTTCGTAGTTCTCACGTGCGTGTCTCGCTATTTCTACGATTGCCGCGCGCATCCCTTGATTGTTTCGCCAGCGGGCCGTGCAGTTCACATGCCGTCAGGAGTCCACGGCGCCCTTCGAGCGATTCGCGCGCGACCTGCGCGCGACGCGCGAACGACCCGCGCGACGCCCGCGCGACGCACGCGCGACGCGCGCGCGACGCGCGCGCGACGCACCCCGACCCGCGCGCGACGCACCCCTGCCGGCGCGCGACGCACGATCGACCCGCGCGACGCACGCGCGACGCACGCGCCACGCGCGCGACGCACGCGCGACGCACGCGCGACGCACGCGCGACGCACGCGCGACGCACGCGCGACGCACGCGCGACGCATGCGCGACGCAGTCGCGACTTTGCCCGCCCCTGACATTTCTCCGAGCAGCGATGCGCAACGGCCGTCGGCCCGCCGTGCTTGCGCTGTTCACAAGTGGCGGCGGCTGCGCCATCCATTGCGCCAGGAAGGGCGGTGCTTGCCCCTGTGATTTCCCTTTTCCTTCCTCGTCGTCCCTCCTCTTTTGTCATTCCTCCTCCTCCTTCGTCCTCTCTCCTGCCTCGCCCCCCTCTCTCCTCCCCTTCTTTTCCTCCTTTCTACCAGCCTCCCTCTGTCAGTGCCTCCCCCCTCCTCTCTCGTCTTTGTTTTTTTTCCCTTGCCACCCCGTGCCCCTCTTCATTCTCTTTTCTCCTTCGGCCCCCCTTCCACGGCCGCGGCGCGTCACCGCGAGCGGCGCCCCCGCCTTCCGCGAACGGCCCCGCCGCTGGCGGTGGAGGAGGAAGATCACGAGGAGAAAAGGAGGGGGGAGGGGCAGGGGCGCGAGGCGGGCGCGGCGGCAAGGGCGGCCCGACAGGTGTAGGGGGCGGGGGGAGGGACGGAGTGGGCGGGTGCTTCTGTAATGGTCATGTTGGTGATCATGGTCGTGGTCGCGTTCGTCGCCTTGGTCGCGTTGGCGGCGGTCGTGCCGCTGGTGGTGGGCGGGCTGGTGGTGGTCACGTCGGTGATCGTGCTGGTGTCGGTCGTTGTGGTGGTCGCGAGAAGCGTGGTGGTCGTGGTGGTGATGATGGCGGTAAATGGTGTTGGTCGTAATCGTCGCGGTGGATGTGGTTGCGGTCGCATCCGTTTGTGGTGATCGTGGCGGCGGTAGTTTTGGCGCTGGCGGCGGTTGCGGCGGCTGTGGCGGCGGCTGGGGGGACCTGCTGGCCTATCGCCGGGCTGCGTTCAGCAGCATCGCTGAATGTGTAATGTTAGTGGGATTTGCAGATCTGCCGAGGTAGCCCAGCGGCCGCCTTCTTCTCGCCAAGAGGGCCGCAGCGTGGGCGACTTTCTTTTTCCCGAAGGCGATCAGCCTTTTTAAGCGGCCGTGGAGAGGGCGACGCGCGTGCGATCCGCCCCGTGGGCGTCCGCCGCGCTGGCGACGCACTCACCAAAGTGCCCCCTTGCGAGGGCGACGTGCGCGTTCGAGAGGGCGGCTGGCCTTTTCGGCGGCCGACGCACGGGCGACGAATGCGCGACGCACCTCCTGTCGCGAAGGGGGGGGGGGTCAGCACGCCGGTCGCTTTACTGGGCCTTAACACTTCAGAGTCATACATGATGAGGAAGTCTCAGGCGAAACGCTGCTCGCCCTAGAAACTTGCCTCGGGGTGCGACAGGGACAAGTTATTTTTGAGGAAATGGAATGGAGGAGAGGAGGAGGAGGACGAGGAGGAGGCGGAGGAGGAAGAGGCGGAGGCGGAGGCGGAGGAGGAAGAGGAGGAGGCGGAGGCGGAGGAGGGGGAGGAGGAGGAGGAGGAGGAGGAGGAGGAGGAGGAGGAGGAGGAGGAGGAGGAGGAGGAGGCGGAGGAGGTCCCGAGCGGGGAGGGGGGCCACACCACCCAGCGGAGGATCGCCCCCCCCATGGTTTCGCGCGCACGGCGGCGGAGGTGCTGCTGCTGATGCTGCTGCTGCTGCTGCTGCTGCTGCGGTTCCTTGATCCCAGACCTGCACGCCGTCGAAGTGGCATCAAGACGTTTCCCACGAGCGAGACCTCCTCTCGTTGTGAAGAAAAGACGACCAGACGTTTGTCCTTATGTTCGGCCTCCGGGGGCTTACCGGGCCGCGGGACCGTCAAACACGGCTCAGGATGAAGAACCCGTCCTGGGGAAAGGGCCCAGACTTCTGGGGGTCGACGTTGTGAAAAAAACAAGACGTTTGGGGTCTGGTAAGCGAGACCCTGACTTCTTCTTCTTCTTCGGCGCGGCAGAGTCACGAACGGAGGCTTCTGGATCCTCGGCCCTGCTCTTCGATCCTCTTCCTCGACCCTCGATCCTCCAACTCGACCCTCGTTCCCCCCTCGATCCTCGGCCCTCCTCCTCGAACCTCCTCCTCGAACCTCCTCCACCCGCGATCCTCCTCCTCGACCCTCGACCCTCGACCCTCCTCCTCGACCCTGGACCCTGCTCCTCGCTCCTCCTCCTCGACCCTCAATCCTCCTCGACCCTCGTTCCCCGCAGCGATGGTGGAGGCTGGCGGCGGCCGACGCCGACGCCGACGCCGGCGCCGACAACCGCCGCGAGCCTCCACCATCGCTGCGGGGAACGAGGGTCGAGGAGGAGGATTGAGGGCCGAGGAGGAGGAGCGAGGAGCAGGGTCCGGGATCGAGGGTCCAGGAGGAGGGTCGAGGGTCGAGGGTCGAGGAGGAGGACTGAGGCCGAGGCTCCAGGGCCGCGGGTGGAGGCGGAGGGCCGAGGCTCGACCGCCGCAGGCCGCCGCCGGGCCCCAGTCCGCGCGCGGCCAGCCCGAGGGGCGTCCGCTGGAGCGCCGCGCGAGCCCCGCCGCCGCCGCGGCCTGCAGCGGCCCGGCGCCTGGCGGCCTGCAGCGCGGGCAGCGTCGGCAGCGCCTTGGGACGACGACGTCGACGGCGGCGACGTCGACGACAACGACGACGAAGGCGACGACTGCGGCGGCGGCGACGGCGACGATGCCGACGGCGACGGCAGCGGCGACGGCAGCCCTCGCGTCGTGAAGACAGTTACCGGCGGGAGGTGCCTTGCTATTTTCAGGCTCTGGGGGCCCTCGCCGGGCCCGAGAGCCGTCACACGAACTCTCAGGATGGATGATGAACGGGACCTGGGGAAATCGGTCGAGCCCTCCGGGTGTCCACGCTGCGAACACACAGACACACACACAGACACACACAGACACACACACACACACAGAGACACAGACACACACACACACACACACACACACACACACACACACACACACACAGGCACACACACACAGACACACACCCAGACACAGACACAGACACAGACACACACACACACACACACACACACACACACACACACACACACTCGCGGCGCCGGGGGTCTGGGGAAGGACGACAAAAGCATATTGTAGGAGTACCGCCAGGATTTCTTGGATCTGCGCTGGGCACCTCTGGCGAGGCCTCTGGCGCCGCCCCTGGCGCGCGGAGCGCGCCGGGGAGGGGGGACCAGCGCAGATCCAAGAAATCTGAGCGGAGCTCCGCAAGTTGATGGTTACATGCTGTTTTTTGTTTTGCTAGTTTCGGGCAACTCGGAGGCTGTCTTGGGGCTCCTTGGGCTGCCTCAGGGCGCTCTTGTGCCGTCTGGGCGCTTTCGGAGTCCGTCTTGGGAAACTCTCGGTGCCTTCTGGGGCACTCTTGGGGACCTTGAGGGCCGTCTGAGGGCACGCTTCGGCCGACTTGGGGTCATCTTTGGCCGCTCTTGGGCCATCTTGGAACCCTCGTGGGCCCTGTTGCGGCCCTTTTGCGGTTCTCGTTGCCCATCTTGAGGCTATCTTCGGATGCTTCCTTGGCCGTCTTGAGCTGACGGGAGCCCGACAAGGTGAATGCGAAAACCCAGCAACGTGTTGGAACATCAGTGATGTTGGCGTCTTCGGGCGCTCCTGGAGGTTCTCTTGAAGCCCTCTTGGTCCGTCTTGAGAGCCTCTCGGCATTCCTGCAGCCATCTTGGACTGTCGTGGGCTGGCAGGGAGGCATCTTGGGCCGCGCTGGCGGCCTTGATGGCCTGCCTGGGCCGTCCTGGAAGCCAGGGCTGGAGCTAAACGATGTTTCGACCATCTCGTGGGCCGTTTTGTTGTTCGTTTTGGTTTGCATTTAAGGCGAAGCGAAGGCACGACGAGGAAAAAGGAAAGACAGACCGAATATGGAAGACACCGCTTTAGGTTCCGCCCTGCTGGAAGCCAAATCTTGGGCATCCTGGACGCCCTGGAGGTTGCCAGGGAGGCCTCGAGCCACCCAGAGAGCCTCGGGAGGTGGGGGGGGGCGACGCACGCAGGCGAATGCGGCCCGTAAGGGGGAGGGCCTGCAATTGTTCAACGGCACTTGGCATCATACGGTAGGTTCGCGTCGTGTCGACCGGCGGCGACCCCGACGCCGGCGTTCAACGTTGAACGCCGGCGGAGGCCCAGAATCGGTCGATGTTGAACGATCGGACGTTGCGGAAATGGCCGATCGTTCAAGGTTGAACGATCCTCGCGGCATCAGGGACCAACGCCCAGGTCGACACGGCACGAACCTGCCGTACCTAGACTCAGCATTCCAGGTGGTACGGTGGCGGCTACCCACAAGACGTGTAAACGTATACACGTACAGATGTGTATAGTCAGTTCGTGTCCATGAGATGTATTTGTATGTGTATCTCTCTTTCTCTCTTCCATTCTAGTATATATATATATATATATATATATGCATAGGTTTGTGTATCCTTCCCTATAGATGTATATGTAGACATGTCTAGCGTTACGTCTCTCTTCCTTTGTCACCCCTCCTGCACCCTCTTATCTCTAGGTGTACCACGCGCTCTCTTCCTCTCTGTCTCTCACACTCTTTCTTTATCCATGCTCTCCGTCCTCTTCTCTCTCTCTCTCCTCCCCTCCGAGCATTCACTCACGACGCCAACGTGGCCCAGGGTGTGGCAGCACGCTTCTGTTTCTCGACCTTCCCTCCTCGCCAGCTCTGCCCTCTCATCTCTCCTCACTCCTCACCCCTCCACTATCCCTCCCTCCCTCCCTCCGACGGCTGCGCCTCTCAAAGGCCAGGGTTGTTGGGCAAGGGCGAGTGGAGGGTATAGAGCCCCTGCTGCGTCGTTGCTGCAGAGCCTCACCCCCCCGCTTTCCGTGCTGGACAGACCCAGCCTCATCGCCTGCGGTGCTCACTCCCTCTCTCCCTCCCTCCCTCCCACTCCCTCTCCCTCCCTCTCCTTCTCCCTCCCTCCCTCTCCTTCTCCCTCTCCCTCCCTGTCCCTCTCCCTCTTCTTCTCCCTCCCTTTCTCTGACGCGCGAAGTTCTTGCGAGACCCTTGCCTCACCCGCTTCGCCCCCGTTGGGGCCCAGGCGCACACCCGCGCGAACGTTCCGTTCCGATCCGAGGCCCTCCTTTTCTGCCCCCTCCTCGCCTTCCTTCGCCTTGCGGTCAAGGCGCTGAAAGATGGAGCGCTCTTGGTTCGGAATCGAAGACAACAAACATAAGCATAAACTGTTGGCGCTCCGCGCGAATTGTCTTGGATCCGCGCTGGGCCCCCCGGCGGCGACTTAGGCGCCGCCCCTGGCGCGCTCCGCGCGCCAGGGAGGGGGTCCAGCGCAGATCCAAGAAACCCGCGCGGAGCGCCAAAAGTTTCTGTTTATGCAGTTGTTTCTTCTTCTACGGAGGGGGCTCGCTGTTGCTTGGGTCATCCGTGGCTGTCTAGCCATCCTCGTGAACCTGGGCGCTTCTGGGGCCAAAGAGGGGCTCTTTGTTCCTTACAGTCGAGGTAGATTAGTAGGTCGACCCTGCCAAATCAAGGGTACTCTTTTGCCCTGTGTTTCGCGACCCATGCCTTCTAAATTCATACGGCAGTGTGGCCCTCGGAAGGGTTTTGTGTCCTCTCGCCTGTCCTCTGCAGTCAACCCTGACTTGTTACTCGAGTGTATATCCTCCTCGCTCTCCCCCCTCCTCTGCAGCGGCCGCGGCGGCCCCGTCTTGCGGAGGACGCTGGTACGCATCTGGTCGAGGCCGACCTCGACGCCGACGACGACGACGACGATCACGACCCCGACCCCGACCACGACCACGACCACGACTACGACCATGACCATGACCACGACCACGACCACGACGTCTCTGCTCGCTCGCTCCCCGAGGACGCCACGCTCGACAAGAAGGCCCTCTACGTCGGGGACCGGGTGCGGCTGAAGAGCCCCTCCACGCCGCGCCCGGCCGCAGCCAAGGGGGGGGGGGGGGGCCAGGAGGGGACGACGAGGAGGAGGGAGGAGCAGTGGGGGCTTCGGCTGCATGTATACCCAGACCGCCACGCGTGGTGAAAGAATCGCGACGGGCGGTTTCTCGCTGCGTTCGGCCTCTGGGGGCCTTCACTGGGCCTCGGGACCGTCATAAAAACGACCCGGGACTGGGCCTCGGGACCGTCATAGAAATTGGTCCTGGGGAAGCGGTCCAGACCCTTGAGACCCCGGGACCCTGGGGCCCAAGGCGCATCGACGATGTTGCAATAAGCCCTCCCTCCAACTTCCCTCTTCATGGGGCCCTGCGAGAAGATGTCCTTGCTGCGGGAAGTGCCCAGTTGGAAGTCAAACATCTGAGAATCTTCAAACGTGCCACAACGCTGGGCCTCCATCGCCGCGACCCAACGTTGCTGTTGCGTCCTGGCGATCCTGAATCGCGTCAGCGCAGCACTCCTGGGACATCGAGACCGCGACCACTGGGGAGGGCGGAGGACGACGAGGAGAAGGAGGGAAGCGGGCGAGGACGACGAGGAGCCGCCGCCCCTCGTGGTGAGAGGACCGCGACGGAGGGCTTTGGGCCATTTCCGGCTTCCAGAGGCCCTCGCCAGGACCCAGAACCGTGAGAACGACCCGGGAGGAAAAGCCGGCCCCCAGGAGTGGCTCTGACTTTGGATCCGTCGTGCTTTGGTCGATTTTCCGGCCAAGAGTTGCGTCGGGAGTGCACCCCAAACGATGCGAACACGTACAGTCAAGACATTGAAAGCATGACCGATTTGGGTGAATTGCGAAGGGGCTCGTTGTTCCTTAGGTCATTCCGTGGTTGTTCCTGCAGCTCTCTTCATGCACCTCGGTATGTTTTGGTAAAAAGGGGCTTCGCTACGTATTCCGCCAGCCCGTTTCGCATCACTGTGGCTGCGTGGTGGTATGCTCGTGCCCAGGTGGAACAGTAGGGCAGGCAGGAATGTCCTCGAGGAGATCTTTGGAGATGTGGCTCCCGCCCTGACGAAGAGAGCCGATCGACTGCCCCAGGAGGCGCCACGATGGCTCAAGAGAGCTCCAGCAGAGTTTTGAGGCGTACCTGGGCTGTGGGTCAGAGTCCTCATGGATATTCTCTTGCACAGCTGTGCTCTAGAGCTCGGACATCTGTATTATCTTGCACAGCTGTGCTCTAGAGCTCGGACATCTTTATTTTCGTCGTGGTTCGTGGCTCGTGGTGGTTCGTCCCCCTCGGCCCCTCCCCTGAGCCTGAGCCCCAGCTCCCCTGGGCCACTCCCCCTTGGGACCCCCCCTCCGTCCAGGCTTCCCAGGGCAGCCCCCCCTGGGCCGCGGAACCCCTTATTTTCGTCGTGCCCCCCCCCCCCCCCTTCCCCCCTGGGACCACCCCTTCGTCCAGGCGTCCCAAGACAGTCCTCCTGGGCCGCGGACATCCTTATTTTCGTCGTGGTTCGTGGTTCGTGGTCCGGCCCCCCCCCCATCCTTATTTTCGTCCCCTGGGCCGCGGGCATCCTTATTTTCGTCGTGGGTGGTTCGTCGTGGTTCGTCCCCCTCGGCCCCATCCCCTGAGCCTGAGCCCCAGCTCCCCTGGGCCACCGCCTCTTGGGACCCCCCCTCCGTCCAGGCTTCCCAGGGCAGCCCCCCTGGGCCGCGGAACCCTTTACTTTCGTCGTGGTTCGTGGCTCGTGGTGGTTCGTCCCCCTCGCCCCCCTCGGCCCCCCCCCCTGAGCCTGAGCCCCAGCTCCCCTGAGCCAACCACCCTTCGGAGCCTTCCTCCGTCCAGCCTTCCTGCGCCCAGGCTTCCCAGTCCTTCGCAGCTCTTCTGTGTAAGAGCCAGGGCACGCGTGCCACTTGTTTTCGTCGTGGTTCGTGGTTCGTGGTGGTTCGTCCCCCTCGGCCCCTCCCCTGAGCCTGCGCCCCAGCTCCCCTGGGCCACCCACCCTTCGTAGGCTTGCTCCGTCCAGGCGTCCCAGGACAGCCCCTCTAGGCCGCGGACATCCTTATTTTCGTAGTGGTTCGTCCCCCTCGGCCCCATCCCCTGAGACTGAGCCCCAGCTCCCCTGGGCCACCCCCCCTTGGGACCCCCCTCCGTCCAGGCTTCCCAGGGCAGCCCCCCTGGGCCGCGGGCCGCGGAACCCTTTACTTTCGTTGTAGTTCGTGGTTCGTGGTGGTTCGTCCCCCTCGGCCCCCCCCCCCCAGAGCCTGCGCCCCAGCTCCCCTGAGCCACCCACCCTTCGGAGCCTTCCTCCGTCCAGTCTTCCTCCGTCCAGGCTTCCCAGTCTTTAGCAGCTCCTTTGTGCAAGAGCCAGGGCCTGTGTGCCACTTGCTTCTTAGGGTCTTTTCTGAGGGATCCTGGGCCTCTGGGGGGCCTCTTGGGGTGGGGTCCTGTTGGAGGTCTTGGCCGCCTCTTTTGGGGACCCTTGGGGAGCCTCTTGGGGCCTCTTGGGGGGCTCTTGGGGGCCTCTGGAAGATTCCTGGGCGTTTTGTCGAGCCGGGAGCTCGTCATGTCCGTTCGGGTTCCCCCTCTGCGCTGGGTTCTCGTTTTGTAAAAAGCACTGCGGTCTCCGCCTTCTCCCGCCTCCCGCCTCTCTCTCTCTCTCTTCCCTCGTGCCTGTCACCTTCGTTTTCTCCTATGGTGCCTCGTCTCCCGTTCTGCCTGCCAGCCTGGCTCCTACCTCGCCGTCCTACGTGCACTCGCCAGCCCTGGGGACGGCTGCGAACTGCGATGCTGTCGCCACCTTCGAGGGCTGCTGGAGGGGGGCAGCATACTGGGCGCCGGGCGCACACGCACATTCAGATTGGACCTCGCCAGCCCTGGGGGTGGCTGCGAACTGCGATGCTGTCGCCATGTCCGAGGGCTGCTGGAGGGGGGCAGCATAGTGGGCACCAGGCGCACGCACATTCAGATTGGGCCTCGCCAGCCCTGGGGTCGGCTGCGAACTGCGGTGCTGTCGCCACCTTCGAGGGCTGCTGGAAGGGGGGCAGCATAGTGGGCGCCACGAAACTTGTGAGGGGTGCGCCGAAATTGGTGGCGCGGACGCATGTGGACACCGCCACTCGGGCCTTCGGTGTAGCTCCCTATGGGGCCACGAAGCGCCGCCCTGGGCGAGGGAGACGCATGCGAACTGCGCCATTGGGACCTTCGCTTGAGCTCCTTATGGGGCCATGAAGCGCTGTCATGGGTGGGGGAGACGCATGCGAACTGCGCCTCTGGCGCCTTCGGTGGAGCTCCCTATGGGGCCACGAAGCGCTGTCCTGGGTGGGGGAACCGCATGCGGGCACCCCCACTGGGGCCTACGGTGGAGCTCCCTATGGGGCTACGAAACGCTGCCCTGGGTGGGGGAACTGCATGCGGGCACCCCCACTGGGGCCTTCGGTGGAGCTCCCTATGGGGCTACGAAACGCTGCCCTGGGTGGGGGAACCGCATGCGGGCACCCCCACCGGGGCCTTCGGTGGAGCTCCCTATGGGGCTACGAAACGCTGCCCTGGGTGGGGGAACCGCATGCGGGCACCCCCACTGGGGCCTTCGGTGGAGCTCCTTATGGGGCTACGAGACGCTGCCCTGGGTGGGGGAACCGCATGCGGGCACCCCCACTGGGGCCTTCGGTGGAGCTCCCTATGGGACTACGAGACGCTGCCCTGGGTGGGTGAAACGCAGGGAAGAGGGGGAGGAGGGAGGAGTGGTAGGAGGAGGGGGAGGAGGGAGGAGGGGGAGGGAGGAGCGGGAGGAGGAAGGAACGCGGGTCGTTGTCTCTTCAAAACGAGGACCCAACACCACAGGATGGTTGGGAATAACCCGAATTCGACCACGTATCAGATAAAGTGCGGTCCACATAAATAAAGCGTACAGATCAACATTTTAATGAAAAGGAAAGTTAACGTCATGTGACGCGCAACAGTAAACGCGTGAGAGGGGCCGTTTCATGTTCGGTATTTCAGGCAAGTTGAGATCTCGAGTCTCGATGGATGCCAAACAAATACGTTGCCCAATGTGAGTTGTTAGAGCAGGACATTCACGCTAGCGGAGCGAACGTACACGTAGCCATTTTGGCTCAAGGTAAGAAGCAAGCTCGTCATACCTTGCAGAAAACAAACCAAGCAAATGAATCTTCCGGCTGTCATGGATCGGAGTGGTCTGCGACCGCGATTGTTTCTCAAATCCGCCGCGCACAACAAGTTTCTTGGCAGCTATCCGCGGTCGCACGGAGGACAGCTGTTCAGCACCGGCAACCCTCTTGGATGGGAGGTCTGGGAGATCGAACGGTCGCCTCATGGAGGAATATAGAGCACTGCTCGCGCGAACCTTCTTTCCTTCCTTCCTTCCCGCCCCTCTCTCCCCCCCTGCCTTTTACCTGGCTCGTCGCTGCGTTTCGAGGGCTGCTGGGGGCTGCGATCTGTGAAACTGTCGCCACTTTCGAGGGCTGCTGGGCGGCCCAGCACAGTCTGCACCCGCGGCGGACCCAAATTAGACCTCGCCATCCTTGGGGGGCTGCGATCTGTGAAACTGTCGCCACTTTCGAGGCCTGCTGGGGGGCCCAGCACAGTCTGCACCCGCGGCGGACTCAAATGGTACCTCGCCATCCCTGGGGGGCTGCGATCTGCGAAACCGTCGCCACTTTCGAGGGCTGCTGGGGGGCCCAGCACAGTCTGCACCCGCGGCGGACCCAAATTTGACCTCGCCATCCCTGGGGGGCTGCGATCTGCGAAACTGTCGCCACTTTCGAGGGCTGCTGGGGGGCCCAGCACAGTCTGCACCCGCGGCGGACCCAAATTAGACCTCGCCATCCCTGGGGGGCTGCGATCTGCGAAACCGTCGCCACTTTCGAGGGCTGCTGGGGGGCCCAGCACAGTCTGCACCCGCGGCGGACTCAAATGGGACCTCGCCATCCCTGGGGGGCTGCGATCTGTGAAACTGTCGCCGCTTTCGAGGCCTGCTGGGGGGCCCAGCACAGTCTGCACCCGCGGCGGACTCAAATGGGACCTCGCCATCCCTTGGGGGGCTGCGATCTGCGAAACCGTCGCCACTTTCGAGGGCTGCTGGGGGGCCCAGCACAGTGGGTACCCACCGCGGACTCAAATGGGACCTCGCCATCCCAGCACAGTCTGCACCCGCGGCGGACTCAAATTAGACCTCGCCATCCCTGGGGGGCTGCGATCTGTGAAACTGTCGCCACTTTCGAGGCCTGCTGGGGGGCCCAGCACAGTCTGCACCCACGGCGGATTCAAATGGGACCTCGCCATCCTTGGGGGGCTGCGATCTGTGAAACTGTCGCCACTTTCGAGGCCTGCTGGGGGGCCCAGCACAGTGGGTACACACGGCGGACTCAAATTTGACCTTCGCCATCCCTGGGGGGCTGCGATCTGTGAAACTGTCGCCACTTTCGAGGGCTGCTGGGGGGCCCAGCACAGTGGGTACCCACGGCGGACTCAAATGGGACCTCGCCATCCTTGGGGGGCTGCGATCTGTGAAACTGTCGCCACTTTCGAGGCCTGCTGGGGGGCCCAGTACAGTGGGTACCCACGGCGGACTCAAATGTGACCTCGCCATCCCTGGGGGGCTGCTATCTGTGAAAGCCACTTTCGAGGCCTGCTGGGGGGCCCAGCACAGTGACGGCACACGCAGATTCAAATTAGACCTCGCCATCCCTGGGGGGTTGCGATCTGTGAAACTGTCGTCATTTTCGAGGCCTGCTTGCGGGGCCCAGCATAGTGACGCCTCCCAAGTAGCTTACACATCAAGCTGATTGCCCATACAAGTTTCGGCCAACTCCTCGTTTCCATTGATACAAATGGGTTGGGTACGTCACAGGGTAATTCTTTACGCTTCGCGTATCCCCACCAGCCCATCTCACAGCAGCAATTCTCGCGAAGCATGCCGACAGTCGTGTTTTTCAGGCGTGTGTCCGCTTGGCCCCGCATATCTCCCCTGTTCCTCCTTCCTCCCGCCTCCTTGTACATCCTCCTTGTGAGGGGAGCGGGAGAAGGACGAGGCGGAGGAGGAGGGAGAGAAAGCGCTCCTCGTGATTTGAGTCGTTTGGGGTTTCTCGTCCTGGTGTGAGTCGTTCGGGCCCTTCTTCCTGGTGTGAGTCGTTCGGGCTCTTCGTGGTGTGAGTCGTTCGGGCTCTTCGTCCTGGTGTGAGTCGTTCGGGCTTCTCGTGGTGTGAGTTGTTCGGGCCCCTCATCCTGGTGTGAGTCGTTCGGGCCCCTCCTCCTGGTGTGACTCGTTCGGGCTCCTCGTGGTGTGAGTCGTTCGGGGCCCGCGTCGTGGTGTGAGTCGTTCGGGCTCCTCGTGGTGTGAGTCGTTCGGGCGCCTCGTCCTGGTGTGAGTCGTTCGGGCCCCTCCTTGTGGTGTGAGTCGTTCGGGCTCTTCGTGGTGTGAGTCGTTCGGGCCCCTCGTCCTGGTGTGAGTCGTTCGGGCTCCTCGTGGGGCCTCTTGGGGGCCTCTTGGGGGCCTCTTGGGGCCTCTTGGGGGCCTCTTGGGGGCCTCTTGGGGGCCTCTTGGGGGCTCTGGGGCCTCGTGGGGCCTCTTGGGGGCCTCTTGGGTGCCTCTTGGGGGCCTCTTGGGGGCCTCTTGGGGCCTCGTGGGGCCTCTTGGGGGCCTCTTGGGGGCCTCTTGGGGGCCTCTTGGGGCCGCTTGGGGGCCTCTGGGGGGCCTCTTCGAGGCCTCTTGGGAGCCTCCTGGGGGCCTCTTGGGCCCATCTTGGGGCCTCTTGCGGCCTCCTCAGAAGCGGAAATGAGCGTTGCTCCTTGATTTTTCAAAAATGAGCCCAAAACCTTCGTAAAACCAATGATTTTGAGAACACGGAAGAGGAGCGCTGCCCCCTCAGAAGGCCAAAATGGGGCCGAAACCGTAGTAAAATCAATGATCTTGGCTTCACAGAAGAGGGGAGGGTTTTTTCGGTGTCCCCCCGTCGGGGCCAGAATCCTCGTGAGGGTCGTCGTTTTTTTGGCCCTCCCAGGAGTCGAAAAAGACCCCTCCAACGACCCGCGGCCCGCCCTCTCCAGACCCAGGGGGAGGGGGGAGGGGGAGGGGTAAACCCCTCCCCGAAGGGGAAGAAGGGGGGTGGGGGGTTGAGAACAGAGAAAGCTCGCTAAACCACTCACGCCCAAAGGGCTGGTGGGATTTATTGATTCAACTGCTCATGGCACTCGTCTCGCGTGCGATGCTGGCGGCAACCTCTACACCATTGCAAAAGATGGGCACGCTGGTACATGGGAAACCTGGAAGATAAAAGCGGCTCACCATGGAGGAGTTTTTTTTTATAATCTCGGTGCAGCACCGCAAGTCTCTCGCTTGCAATGCAAGCGGTCACGTCTACGTCGTTTGCGCGGAAACTCACCAAGGTTCCTGGGAAACTTGGCACATGCAGGATTGTACTCCAACGGTTTTCATCTCTTCCGCCTGTCACGATAAACGGTTGAGCAGCAAGCCTTTTGGTGGCGGAATTTTCACGAGCAGAAATCGCTTCGGCTGGGAAAAGTGGGTTTTGGAAGAGTCGGATCATGGTGGCTTTTTCTTCCGTTCGCCAGCGCACAATACGCGATTGGCGCTCGACGCAAACTCGCATCTTTACACCATCAGCTGTGGAGATGACGGGCTTGATCACCGCGGAGCTTGGGAGACGTGGAGGTTGTCAGAGTCTCCTCATAGTAGCAACTCGTATTTCATCGACAGCATCGGACACGAGGGCAAGCGGCTCGCGTGCAACAACAACGGGCATGTCTACGTGATCGACGCCAACACGCATGCTGGATCGTGGGAGAGCTGGATTCTCGAACGATCCCAGCACGGTGACATCATCGAGAGTACTAAATTTTGGACCAAGGTGGTGGGGGCTTGTGCGGTCGGCGCGGCAGCGGCGCCTGTCGTCGCAGCCGGCGTGGTTGCCAGTATGGGCTTCGGTGCAGCGGGAATCGCGGCTGGTAGTGCCGGCGCAGCTATGATGTCAGCCGAAGCGAGTGTTGCTGGAGGGGGAATCGCAGCTGGCGGCGTCGTAGCAACTTTGCAGTCGATCGGTGCTTCGGGATTGGGCGTGGCGGGCACGACGGCTCTGGCATTGTCTGGAGCGGCGACCGGCAGCGGAGTAGGGGCTGCACTTGCGGTCGCGCTTCCTTGAGTTCACGGTGGAAACGAGACTTCGGTTGGTCGAAAGGCAAATTTGGATGGCAGCCCCGGGCCCGAGAACGAGCGCGAGGTGCCAAGATCAGGAGGAACCGCGAGTGGGGATTGAACAAACCAGATCGTCGGAGATGCGGGAACTTCGCTCCCCGGGTCAAGAACATCCACCCGTGGGCCCATCCCCCTTGAGTCATGAAAAAGTCACGACGGACAATTTTTCCTTGGTTTCGGGCTCCGGAGGCCCTGACCAGCCCTCGGGACCGTTTAAACAAAAAAACAGGACGACAAGCCAGTCCCAGGGAATGGGTCGAGACCTCCGGGGTCGGCTCTGTGACAAATCATGGCGTCGGGGGTCGGGGTCCCCCTCCCCGCTGTCGCTGTCGCTGTCGGCCCCAGGGAGCTCGAGACGAGCGCAGCCGTCCCTCTCCTCCCCCTCCCTCCCCAGAGTTCCGACGTCGTGGCTCTTCGGCGGCGCTCCGAGGCCGCGGCTCTCTCCGACGCCAGGGGCCCGGGCCTGAACCCACCCAGCAGCACGTTTCGACCAGAGTCACCGCGAGCAAAAGAGCCCCAACCCTCAGAACACGTTGAAGACGTGGCCTCGCTGAGGCCCCCGTCTCCGCATGTGCGCATTTGCGCATCAGGGGTAATGCATCTCGGCTGTTTGGTCTGGTGCGTATGCAGAAAAGACCCCTTCTCCCTAACGTTCCTGGCCCTCCTGATTTAGGCTCCGTCCCGAAGGGTTAGGGGTCTTTTTTTTTGCTGGTCACAGAAGGATGGGGGGGGACCCAGACATCCGGCCGCTCCAATTTTTGCTCGATGCGTGGAGGAGAGTCTGGACCACTTCCTCGGGACGGGATTCTCTTCCCGAGCCGTTTTTTTTCGTTGCGGCCCCCGGCGGGGGCCCCGAGAGGCCGAACATGCGAGGAAAACCCCCCGCCCATGCGAAGGTCTGGGGCTTTCAGTCCCGACTCGTTTTTTGGCGGTCCCGAGGGCCTGGCGAGGCCCCCGGGGACCGAGAATTGTCAAACATTGCCCATTCCAATTTTTTTTTTTTGGGGGGGGCTAGGGCCGATTTTTTCTCCCGAGTCCGTTCTTCGACGGTCCCGACGCTCTGCGAGGGCCCCCAGAGGCCGAAAACCATCAAAAGCCGCTCATTCAATATTTTTTTTGGGGGGGGGCTTCTAGGCTCGTTTTCGTCCCGAATCGTTTTGCGACGGTCCCGAGACCAGGCGAGGGTCCCCCGAGGCCGAAAACCACCAAAAGCCGCCCACACCGATTCTTTTTTCTGTTGGGGGGGGGGGGGCTGGGGCCGGTGGTTCGTCCCGCATCGGTCTTTGACGGTCTCGAGGCCTCGCGAGGGCCCCTGGAGGCCGAAAACCGCCAAAGGCCGCCCACTCCCCAATTTTGGTTCGGGGCGTCGTTTTTCTCTGTGGGGAGTCTGGCCTCGGCGGCGAGGCGCCCACCGGCGGGGAGCCCCCGAGGAACAGGGCGCCCGCGAGGAGCCTCCGGCCCTCGCGCGCCCGAGGGCCTCCTCCTCCTCCTCCTCCTCCTCCTCCTCCTCCTCCTCCTCCTCCTCCTCCTCCTCCTCCAGAGCTTCGAGCGTGGCCTCCGCCTCAGGACGGGAAGGAGGGAGGTCAGCCTGCTGGACCCCTGGAGGCATGAAAAATCACTAGACGGAAGTTTTTCGCTATTTTGGGGGGGTCCTTGCCGGACCCCGGGACCGCCACAGAACGGGTCTGGATGAAAAACTGGTCCCAGGGGATGCGTCTGGACATCCGGGGGTCGCGTCATGAAACATCATGACGTCTGGGGTCTGGGAGGGAGGGAGGTCCTCCTTGTGAGCTGGGCTCTCCAGGACCTCGGTTTCCTCACTCACGCGAATGAGCCCAGTGCTCAGACCCCCGACGTCGTGTGGTCTTTTCGCAGTGTCGACCCCCAGAGGTCCAGACCCCTTCACCAGGACTGGCTTCCCATCCCGAGTCGTGTTTTGAGAAGTCTGGAGGGGCGGCATGCTTCCAGTGGTCGAAAATAACAGAAAACCGGCCGTCTTTCGAAGAAGAGCAACGGCATAAACAGAAACCGTTTTGGCGCTCCGCGCGGATTTCTTGGATTTGTGCTGGGCCCCCCTCCCAGGCGCGCGGAGCGCGCCAGGGGCGGCGCTGGAGGCGCCGCCAGGGGGGGGCCCAGCGCAGATCCAAGAAATCCACGCGGAGCGCCAAAACAAATTATGTTGATGCCGATGTTTCTCTTTCTAGGCTTCTAGTCTTGATGTTTGCACAACGCGAGCGCGAGGGAGTCTCGGTGCACCTCTCTGCAGCTGTCACGTTCGGCGTTCCTCGGGGGAGCACCAACAAAAAAAGCCGCCGGCGCCCGAGCGGGAAGCACGACCGCCAGCGGCGACGGCGTCGAGCACGACCACGACAAGCTGCGGCCACCCCACGGCGGGGTGAGTTTTTTTTGTAATTACCTCCTCCTCCTCCTCCTCCTCCTCCTTGCCTCCTCCTCCTCCTCTTCCCCCTCTCCTCCTCCTCCTCTTCCTCCTCCTCCTCCTTCTCCTCCTCCTCCGGGCTCGGGTTTCGTAGTCTGGGGTTCGAGGTTTTCGAGCGTTTTCGTAGTTGCTTGGCGGCTTTCTGCCCTCGGGATGCGTTCCAGCAGGTGCGCCTCGCTGAATGCGTTCTTGGGGTACCCGGATTGGTCCGAACGGCAACCAGAGAGCCGAGGTACGACCCAAAAGCCAAATGCAGTGGCGCGCCCGGGGGGGACGAGAAAGAGGCGAGGGGGAAAGTGAGAAGGAGAAGGCCTTCTCAGAAGGCGGCGGGGCTTCTCAGAAGCCCCCTGGACTTCAAAGAGGTCTCTGTGCCTTCGGGGAAGGCTCATAATGTTTTCTGAGAAGGCCGGGGGATGCCCGAGCCTTCTGCGAAGGCCCGCCCCCCGTCTCACTGCCCCCCTGGGCGCGCCACCGCGACACGGTGGGGTGCGAAGTCAGTCGCGCTTCGCGGTCTGGGCGATGTGAGATCGAGGCGCTAGCTCCTCCTCCTCCTCCTCCTCCTCCTCCTCCTCCTCCTCCTCCTCTTCTTCCTGTTGTGAGAGGGGGGTGGGTGCGGCGGCGCGAACGCGCGACGACAGGTGCCCCAGGACGACAAGGAGCAGCACCACGACGACATGGAGCAGAACCACGACGACATGGCGACGCGGCGTCGGCGAAGACGACGACCACCCCGACGACCGGGAGGACCGGGTGAAGGCGATGACCACCATGGCGAAAGCGACGACCACGGCGAAGCCGACGACGACGGCGACCGCGGCGATGGCGACGACGAACATGGCGAAAGCGACGACCACCCCACCACCACGACCCTGAGATCCGAAGTCTCGACCAGAAATGCAACATCGCAAGCAATCTCCACTTGAGCCCTGGACCCCATTTTTCTGCGTCAGTCCTCGAGCCTGCTCGACCTGCGAGGGTCTTGGGGCCCGAGCTCGGGCGAAAATGCCCGTTGAGAACAGTACATGCGACGCCAGGGCTTCAGGGGGCCACCACGACGACCACCATTTTTTGGCGGCGCGCACAAGGTGGTGCGGCAGGTTCGCGCCGTGCCGATTGGCGGCGACCCCGCCGCCGGCGTCCAACGTCGAGTGCGGGCGGCGGCGGCCCAAAATCGGTCGACGCTGAGCGATCGGACGTTTGGGAAGCGACCGATCGTTCAAGGTTGAGCGATCCCCGCGGCGTCAGGAACCAACGGCGGGGCCAGCACGACGCGAATCTGCCGTAGGGCCGGGGGGGAGGACTTCTTTAGACGGATGCTGCCTCTCAGAAGACGCCAGCCGTCCCCCCTCTGCGCGTGGCTGAACCACCTCCTCCTCCTCCTCCGCCTCCTCCCACTCCTCCTCCTCCGCCTCCTCCTCCGCCGCGCCCTCGTCCTCGCCCTCGTCCTCCCTTCGCTCTCGTCCTCGTGCTCGTCTTCCTCCCCCCCTCCTCCTCCTCCTCGATCCTCGACCCCCAGACCACGACGACCACGACCACCACCACGACCGGCAGGAGCGCCAACCGACCGGGCGACGGCGACGGCGGCGGCCACCACTACGACCGGCCCTGCCCGACTCGACCGAAACCCGCTCTCACAGCGTGAATTACCTACCCCGCTTTCGCTTCCAGGCAAAACCAAACCATACCACGCGCCTCCTCGTCAAGCGGCCTGACCAGTACAGGCTGCAATTTGGCATCGTTTGGTATCTCTTGGAAGCGAGGGTGGTCAAAAGCGGGGTAGGTTTGTTTTCCCCTAACGCTCGGCAGGAGCTCTAGCCGGCAGGGCGAGGTGATGTACGTGGGCCCGGCCACTTTCGCAGGCGGCCCTCTGCGCTTCTCCCCCTCCTCCGCCTCCTCCTCATCCTCCTCCTCCGCCTCCTCCTCCTCCCTCTCCTCCTCCTCCTCCTCCTCCTCCTCCTCCTCCTCCTCCTCCTCCTCCTCCATCTCCGTCTCCCTTCCCCTCCCCCTCCCGCTCCTCCTCGGGGGAGAAGGGGAGGGGGGAATGCTTCTCAGAAGCACCCCTGCTTCTCAGAAGGCGCGGGCCTTGTCTGTAGATGTGGGGCCCGCGCCTTTACAGCCAACCCGCATAGTGAGGAGGGGCAACCATTCCAAGGCTGCCCTTGCATCTTTGCCCCTTCGGCCCGTCCTTGGTAACGTTCGCTGGCCAACCTCGTTCGAAAAAGCATGAACACGGCCCTCCAAGGCCACTGCATCCTTACCGCGCACCCTTACTATTCAGGCAGACTGTAGGAGACCGCCTCCTTCTTAAGGAGCCTTCCCCCCTCCCCCTCCCTCCCTGTGCGCGCCGCCACTCTGCGCTCCTCCCTCGGCACCAGCCGAACATACTGATTTCCTGTGCGCGTGAGACGGGACCACGGGACAGCAGCCCGGAAGAGGGACAGACTCTGCAGGCAGAGTAATCCGACGGCGGGCCCGCGCCCGCCGAGACCCCCGACGAACCAGCGCGCAGAAACCCGCGGACCGTGGAGCACGCCCCGCACGCTCTCCCCCTTCCGCAGGGACAGGAGAAAGCCAGCGCCTCCCGCGGACGCGAGCGCCTGGCGTACCCGCCTGACCGCGCCCACCGCACGGCGTACCTGCCGGCCCGCCACACCCCACACCACAACCCCCACGAGTCGTTGCGCAACAAGCCCCGCCAGGCCATTCGGCAGTGTGCTGCGAATGCCTGTAGGTCGTTGCCGTAGCGTGCAAATGTGGTGTGATTGGGCGGCTTTGGCATCGGTAGATGCATGCCTGCGCGAATGGCATCTTTGAGCCTGAATGTTTTGGTTGGAGTCGTGGGTGGTAAGGTGAATGTCGACAGTGGTGTAGCTCTGGAGTCTGGTCGGAGCGGCGGGCGTGGTAGAAATTGATGTCCGTCTTGGTGCACGAACACCTCGTGGTTATTTGTTGAGGCACCGGTGCCGTCAAACCGTCCAGGAAGGAGTAGGCTGTCGTTTGGGAACTTGTGCGTGTACGTGTTGGATTGTTCGTGGCAATTTACTGCGTAGTGCCATCTGTCGTCTTCGTAGCCGTTGGTGTCCGTGTCGTTGGCGTAGTAACAATACGTTGCCCAACCACTGGGACAGTTCATGTCGAGGTACTTGTTGGGTTTGAGTGACGTGAGGTAAAACTCGCGTGTGCCTGATGCTCCGTTCATCTTCGCCCATGGGTCGTTTTCGTCGATGTTTTCGTCGGAGTCTGTGGTGTCGGAGATCAGCTCGGGTATGTCCCTCCATGGGATGGATCTTTCGTTGGCTGTCGTTTTTGTAGGTGGCGTTGGTGTCTTGGCAGGTGGTGGTGTGTATTCGTGGCAGGTGTCGGTCCTTCTTTTGTCGCGTTTGTCCTTTTTATTATTGAAGGTACGTTTGGGAATGAGTTGCTCTGGTGGTTAGCATTCTCGTGTGCAAATTGAATGTATATCGTTTCTTTGCCAGGTGGTCGTAATAGTTTTTTCTCGATGTCGCATCTCTCGGCAAGCTGCTGTTGCACGAAGCCGTTGTGCGCGTCTTCTGGAGGAAGGTTGGTTGGAAACTTGAAGCCTCCTTCTGTAGTGATGACCTTGGATCGTTTGAAGGTATATGGTGGTCCAAGTGGGCGTGGTAAGACCATCGAGGGTTGCGGTTGAATGTATATTGGGTTGTTGTGGGCGTGCGTGGTGCCGTTGCTGGGGTGTAAGACCGTGATGGGCGTGGGTGCGAGGTGCCATATTGCTCCCGGCCATCTTGGGTTGTCCATTGTAAGTGTCTGGATCGTAGGCGGGATTCGTCCTTTGTAATGGTCTGGTTTGACACGTGTTGTACCTGACCATTGGTTGAGTGAGTCGCATTCGTATTGGGAGGGCTCTTCGAGCTCGATGTAGTCTGGTTGTTGGTGGCTGACAGGTGGTATGATGTGTCTTCAATGCTTGCCTATTATGCATGTGGCCCATGGTGGGTGGAGGGTCGGTGCTCCTGAAGTGTGTAGAGAGTCTGCTAAGTAGTTGGCAGGCGAGAGCAACTCCGATCCCATGGTAACAGTGTAGTTGAAGTCGGTCATGGGGCTGGAGAAGGCGCGCTGCTCGTAGTCGGGATCTGCGTAGTTGATCTTGGCATGGATGGCGCAGTCTTCGCCCATCTGGAATTCGTACCCTTTTACGCTTTGCTGGTAGTAGATGCTGTACAAGGTCTCTTTGAGGCTCTTCTCCGCGCCGCCCCCATTGTAGTAGGTGCATCTGAGTCGTACTCTATCGTGGTCGATGTCGTCGTTCAGCTCAAGCCACGTCATGCAAATCAGTGGAACTCTTCTTGGGTGTCGTGGTGGCTCCTCCTCGTCGATGAAGGGCTTGCTGTCTGGCCTGCAGTCGGCTTTCCTGTAGAGTGGGATCTGCGCAGGCCGCTGTGACCAGTGTGCCTCTGCGTTTGTGTGGGAACCGTAGTATTTCCAGCCGCCGAGGGCGGTTTGCAGCCTCTCTTGAAGCAGGAAGACGCACTCCCTGTTGATGACGTCGGGTGGGCAGGCCATTGTGATTCGCGTCGCCCTCTTGGCCTTGGCCCAGCCCTTCTTGGTGGGCACTGGCATGCACTCGTTGCCCAGGTGAAGGGTTATGTAGACGTAGTACTTGTCGATGTAGGCCATTGTAATTCGCGTCGCCCTCTTGGCCTTGGCCCAGCCCTTCTTGGTGGGCACTGGCATGCACTCGTTGCCCAGGTGAAGGGTTATGTAGACGTAGTACTTGTCGATGCTGTCCTCGGTGATCGCGTCCTGCTGGTCTACCTCGACCTGTGCACGTAGTGGTTGCGCGTTGTCGGGGTCGAAGCTCGCTGGCGTGTCCGTGCGGAGTAGGTCTTCTTTTTGTGATTTATTGCGCGTCTTGAGTAACGGTGGTTAGACGTCGGTGCCCCTGTCGACGACAATGCATTGCTCGCTGCTTTGACTGTGATTCGATAATGAGCATCCTCTCCTCTGTAATCACGTCGTCCGACTTGAGAGAGTATGTCGTATGTATCCCGATGGAAGGGAGGTAGGCACAACTCGTGGCTGTAGCCCATTGGTCCACATGTACTGCACATGCTCCCTTGCTTGCAGGACTGCATGGGGCCATTGGTAAGCATGGCGCTGAGTGTGCAAGCGGAAGTAAGCATTTCGGCGACTGAAGTTTGAACCGGATGGTTGCGTACAGAGTGTCTGGTAGGGATGTAGGAACCATTCGGCATCTGAAATGTGCACGTTGTATCGCTGGATGCATGTAGCTACTCGCCTGGTGTCCTCAATTACGCAGGCCTGTAGTGTGCCTTTGCCATGCTGCCAGTATCTGATGCCCCGCGGAACCAGAAAATTGGGTAGAACGCGTTGGCATTGGTCGGCGGCATTGTTTTCGACACCCACCCACCCGCCCGCCGCCTTCCCACCCTGCGACCATGCGGAATCCGCGGGCGGGCGGGCGGGCAGCTTATTGTTGTCTCAACATTGTCCTAGCATTGTCTTATCATTGTCTTGGCATTGTCTTCTGACTGTCGTATGATTGTGTTTTTGGTTAAAAAATGTTTCACCATTGTCTAACTATTGTCTTACGATTGTCTCACGAGTGTGTTGTTTTTGTCTCATTGTTGTCCCACTAGTTTCTTAGTATTGTGTTGTTAGTGCCATACCATTGTCTTATCAGTGTACCATTATGTTACATATATATATGTATATATAGGTTGTCTGATCATTGCCTTATCATTGTCTCAGCTTTGCGTATTATTGTATTAGTGGTATCTTACTATTGTCTTATTGGTGCCTTAGTCTTGTCCCATGACTGTTGTATTATCATCTTGCTATTATCTTACTCGTGCTCCAACATTGTCTTATAATTGTCTTACGGTTGTCTTACATCGTCTTAGTGTTGTCTCGTTAGTGTACTGTTATTGTCATATCATTGTCTTGATATTGTTTTGTTAATGCTCATTACTGTTTTATTTGTGTATTACCATTGTCGTAGCATTGCTCCATTATTGTCTTATGGTTGTCCCACTCATGTCTTATTAGTGTATTATTATTGTCTGTTTTTGTCTCACCATTTTCCAGCAATTTTGTCACTATTTCCCGATTATTATTCTACTATGGTCGTATTCGTGTCTTGGTATTGTCGTCAACCTCGTCGTCATCGTAGTCGTGGTGTCGCCCAGGATACGAGTGAAACTATTGGTTTTTATCACACGGCTCTCGGGGTGACACGTGTCACCCGTGTGTTGTTTCACACTCTATGGCCCCATGTTGTCGTTCAGAATACAAGTGCACCAGTTGAGTTTTCTCACGCGGTTTTCGGCGTGACACGTGTCCCCCGTGTGTTAGTTCATATTCTGTGGCCCCATGTTATCGTCCAGAATACGGGTGCACCAGCTGATTTTTCTCACGCGGTTTTTGGCGTGACACGTGTCACCCCTTTGTTGTTCAACGTCTGTGGGCCCATGTTGCCGTCCAGAATACGGATGAAACAATTGGTTTTCTTCACACGGTTTTCGGGGTGACACGTGTCATCCGCGTGTTGTTTCACATTCTGTGGGGTCGTGCTGTCACCCAGAATTCGAGTGAGACAGTTGGTTTTTCTCGCACAGTTTTCGCGGTGACGCGTGTCACCCGTGTGTTGTTCAACACTTTGTGGGCCCTTGTTGGCGTCCAGAATACGAGTGAAACAGTTGGTTCTTCTCACACGGTTTTCGGGGTGACGCGTGCCACCCGTGTGTTGTTTTACAGCTTGTGGGCCCATGTTGGCGTCCAGAAGATTAATGAAACATTTTTTTCACGCGGTTTTCGGGGTGACGCGTGCCACCCGTGTGTTGTTTCACACTCTATGGCCCCATGCATGTTGGCGTCAAGAAGACGAGTGAAACAATTTGTTTTTCTCACGGGTTTCGGGGTGACACGTGTCACCCGTGTGTTGTTTCACATTCTATGGGCCCATGTTGGCGTCCAGAATGCGAGTGCAATGATTGGTTTTTCTCACGGTTTTCGGGGTGACGCGTGTCACCCGTGTGTTGTTTCACACTATGGCTCCATGTTGGCGTTCAGAAGACGAGTGAAACAATTGGTTTCTCTCACGGTTTTCCGGGTGACGCGTGTTATTTGTGTGTTGTTTCACATTCTATGGGCCTAAGTTGGCGTCGAGGATGCGAGTGAACCAATTGGTTTTTCTCCTACGGTATTCGGGGTGACACGTGCCACCCGTGTGTTGTTTCACCATCTATGGGCCCATGTTGGCGTGCAGATTTCGAGTGAAACAATTTTTTTTCTCACACGGTCTTCGGGGTGACACGTGTCACCCGTGTATTGTTTCACCTTCTATGGCTCCATGTTGGCGTCCAGAAGACGAGTGAAACAGTTGTTTTTTTGTCACACGGTTTTCGGGGTGACACGTGTCACCCGTGTGTTGTTTCACATTCTGTGGCCCCATGTTGGCGTCCAGAATACGAGTGAAACAAATTGTTGTTTTACGGTTTTCGGGGTGACGCGTGTCATTCGTGTGTTGTTGTACAGCTTGTGGGCCCATGTTGACGTCCAGAATACGAGTGCAACCCTTGGTTTCTCTCACACGGTTTTCTGGGTGACGCGTGTCACCCGTGTGGTGTTTCACATTCTGTGGCCCCATGTTGGCGTCCAGAATGCGAGTGAAACAGTTGGTGTTTCTTACACGGTTTTCGGGGTGACGCGTGTCACCCGTGTGCTGTTAAACACTCTGTGGCCCCGTGTTGGTGTCTAGATACGAGTGCAAATATTGGTTTTTCTATCGCGGTTTTCGGGGTGACGCGTGTCACCCGTGTATTGTTTCATTCTCTCAGGCTCCATGTTGGCGTCCAGAAGACGAGTGAAACAATTGGTTTCTCTCACACGGTTTTCGGGGTGACACGTGTCACCCGTGCGTTTTTTCACATTCTATGGCCCCATGTTGGCGTCAAGAATGCGAGTGCAACAGTTGGTTTTTCTCCTACGGTATTCGGGGTGACGCGTGCCACCCGTGTGTTGTTTCACACTCTGTGGGCCCGCCCATGCTGTCGTCCAGGATACGAGTGAAACGATTGGTTTTTTTACACGGCTTTCGGGGTGACGCGTGTCACCCGTGTGTTGTGTCATTTTCTATGGCTCCATGTTGGCGTCCAGAAGACGAGTGAATCAATCGGTTTCTCTCACACGGTTTTCCAGGTGACACGTGTCACCCGTGTGTTGTTTCACATTCTATGGGCCCATGCTGGGGTCCAGAATGCGAGTGAAACAATTGGTTTTTCTTACACGGTATTCGGGGTGACTCGTTTCACCCGTGTGTTCTTAAGCACTCTGTGAGCCCATGTTATCGTCCAGATACGAGTGAAACAATGGGTTTTTTCTCGGACGGTTTTCGGGGTGACACGTGTCACCCGTGTGTTGTTTCACATTCTATGGCCGCATGTTGGCGTCCAGAATACGAGTGAAACAAGTGATTTTTCTCACACGGTTTTCTGGGTAGCACGTGTCACCCGTGTGTTGTTTCACCGTCTATGGCCCCATGTTGGCATCCAGATTGCGAGTGAAGTAATTTGTTTTTCGCACCAGGTTTTTGGGGTGACACGTGTAACCCGTATGTTGTCTCACTTTGCATGTGCCCATGTTGGCGTCCAGAATACAAGTGAAACGTTTGGTGTTTTTTACATGGTTTTCGGGGTGACGCGTGTCACCCGTGTGTTGTTTCACACTCTATGGCTCCATGTTGGCGTCCAGAAGACGAGTGAAGCAATTGGTTTCTCTCACACGGTTTTCCAGGTGACACGTGTCACCCGTGTGTTGTTTCACACTCTATGGGCCCATGCTGGAGTCCAGAATACGAGTGAAACAATTGGTTTTTCTTACACGGTATTCGGGGTGACACGTTTCACCCGTGTGTTCTTAAGCACTCTGTGGGCCCATGTTGGCGTGCAGATTTCGAGTGAAACAATTTTTTTTTCTCACACGGTTTTCTGGGTGACACGTGTCACCCGTATGTTGTTTCATTTTGTATAGGCCCATGTTGTCGTCCAAAATAATAATACGAGTGCAACAGTTTTTTTTTCTCGCACGGTTTTCCGGGTGACGCGTGTCACCCGTGTCTTGTTTCACATTCTATGGCCCCATGTTGGCGTCCAGACTACGAGTGAAACACATTGTTTTTCTCAAACGGTTTTCGAGGTGACACGTGTCACCCAAGGTGGCGTCCAAACAATTGTTTTTTCTCACACGGTTTTTTTGGTGACACGTGCCACCCGTGTGTTTTTTGCACATTGTACGGGCCCATGTTGACGTCCAGAATGCGAGTGAAACAATTGGTTTTTCTCACGCGGCTTTTTGGGATGGCACCTGTCACCCGTGTGTTGTTTCACACTCTACAGTCGGGGCGCGCTGAACAAGGATCCTTTTTCGTTGGGGAGGGGCTCCGCGTTCCTTAAGTGTTTCACAGCTTGCCTCAGGCTTTCCTTATGTTTTCGACGGGAAACCGAAGGTTAACTCATGGGAAAAAGGGGCCTCGTTCCTTATTTAGGGTTCCTTAGGTCAGCGCCCCGGACGAGGAGGAGGAGGAGGAGGAGGAGAAGGAGGAGGAGGAGGAGGAGGAGAGGAGGAGGGGGAGGAGAGGGAGGAGGAGGAGGAGGAGGAGGAGGAGGAGGAGGAGGAGGAAGAGGAGGAGGACTCTATGGCCCCATGTTGGTTCCCATTGTACGGCCCCGTGTTGGCGTCCATGCCGGAGTCGCCCTCCGTTGCGCGCCCTCCACTTCGTTGTCGCCGCCGCCGTTGCCGCCCCGGTCGATCCCATCTGGCGAGCTTGGGTCGGGAAATCTGTGCAGATTTGCGATCGGGACCCCCTCCTCCTCCTCCTCCTCCTTCTCCTCCTCCTTCTCTTCGATGCTCGCTCCTCCTCCTCCTCCTCCTCCTCCTCCTCCTCCTCCTCCTCCTCCTCCTCCTCTCCGTAGCCATTTTGGCTCAAGATGACGACCTGGGGGGCTGTCCAGCCTCCAGGCCGAAGGGAGACCTCTGGACCGAGGACAGTTCCCAGACGGGCGTCGGGCGCGCGCGCGGCACCGCTGCAGCCATGGGGAGTGGCGGCGGCGGACGCGGGGCGGGCAGCGCCTGGTCGGGGACCCCGAATCGCCAGAGGGTTCCCCCGTGGAAGAGGAGCAGCAGTGGCAGTCGCCCTCCTCGCAGCAGCTGCGTGGTGTGTAACGGGTGCAGCAGATGGCGCTACTGCAAGAATATCACCAGCAGGGGCGACCTCTGCATCTGCGGCAAGAATCTCGCCTGCCTCGTCCCCGACGGACATGTCTTCCGAGACGAAGATGGTGGGTGGCAGGCAGCACAGCCCCAAGGAGAAACCTCGCCCAGGATCAGCTGGGCAGATGGTTGGCAGCCAGGTGGTGGTGCAGGCGGGAAAGGACAAGGAGGCCAACGCCAGCCACCACCTCACGACAAGACTGTCGACCTCAAGGCTGCCGCCGCAGCAGCTTACAGCAAGCTCAGCAAGGACGACCCGCTCAGGCAGCACTACGAGGCCCTCTGGCCAGAGCTCGCCGCAGCCAAACCACCAGCAGACCAACCAGTCGTTGGATTCAAGGCAGTGGAGGCAGCTGCTCGACGCTTGGACAAACTCCAGAAGAAAGTACGATCGGCAGGGGAGCAAGTTGAGAGTGCCCAGCAGTACTTGGCTGAGAGTGAACGCAAGCTTCGTGAAGCCATGGAAGCCTCCATTGCAGCCGAAGATGAGTTCGACAAGCTCAAGGCCACAGTCGGCAAGCAAGAGGCACCAGCTGAACCTGCAGCCGAGAAGCCAACTCTGGCAGCCCTCCTGGAGCAGTTCGAGCATGAGCCTGACGACTTCCACAAGTGGTCCGAGCCCGACAAGGAGGTCTGGCGAGCAGCAAAGGCCAAGGGCGAGCGCATGGCCCAGACGGTCAAGGAGCACGAGGAGGAGACGGCGAAGCACCTGCGACTACTGGAGGAAGAGACGGCCAGGCACCAGGAGCAGCTGCGCCAGCTCGAGCAGGCCCGCACCAAGCGCCTGTCAAAGAGCGGAGAGCAAGACCCAGAAGCAGCAGAAGCCCCACCAGGCAAGCGTGTCTGCGCCGCCAGCCCAGCCCCTCAGCGAGGTGCCACCACATGCACTGAGGCAGCAGGGACAGCCGCCGCGGCTGCGCCCACCGGCGCCGCAGCAGCTGCCCAACCAGAAGCAGGCGCAGCAGAACATGACAAAGCAGAAGAACGCCGAGCCAGAGTGGAGGCCCACATCCAGGAGGCGCGAGAGAAGGTCTCGCAGGCTAGGCGCGCCGAGACAGTCGTCGACGCAGAAGGGCAAGGTGACCACTCAGCAGGGTAGCCGCCCCAAGGCGAGCGCGAAGAAGGCTCGCCGCCCGTGCCACATCGACTTCTTCAACGTCACGACCTGGGGCCCCCAGGCACAGGGCTACCTCATGGAGATCAACAATACCAAGGACAGGGACATCATTGGCATCGCGGAGCACCACCTCCGCCAGCCTGCGCAGATAAGCAAGGCAAGAGCGGCGCTCAGGAGGAATGGCATGCACAGCTACTGGACCAAGGCACGGCCAGGAGAAGGAGAAGGCACTCGAGGAGGCACGTGTGCCATCGCGCGAGGATCCTTGGACATCCAGGACAGGATCGCGGGTTTCGATGAGCACTACCTGCACGAGGACGGCAGTGACGTCACGGTGGTGATCTCCAACCTGCACAAGGTCCGTTTCGCAGTGGCTTTCGTCTACCTCGAGTGCGGGGCGGGCTTTGGAGAGAGGAACGTCGACATCCTCTGCGACCTGCGGGGGAAGATGGCCGTCTGGGGAGGGCCCTGGGCAGCGCTTGGGGACTTCAACATGACGCCGTCGGAGTTCAACGACAGCATTTGGCCCAGGGTGCTGAATGCTCAAGTAGCTGCGGCGGAGGATGGCGCCCCCGCATGTTTCCCAGCAGTAGGAGAAGCCAGGTGCATCGACTTCGCGCTGATCTCGCAGGGCCTGGCGCCGTATTTCGACCAGCTGGAGCTGCTCAGGACCGTGCCGTGGAAGCCGCACATCGGCATCCGCTTGAAGTTGAAGGGGCGGCCTCTCATGCTCAAGGGCAGGGTACTTCGCAGGCCAGCAGCCATAAAGCCGCCAGTCACAGTCGAGAGAATGCCGAAGTCCAGAGCCGCTTGCAGACGAGCGGCGCGCGGAGGCCAGGAGGCCATGCGCCGACGTCAGCAAGCGTTGGCAGAGGCAGGATGCGACCTGGACGAGAACGACATGGAGCCAGTGCCGCAGCTGTACTACGACAAGGAGGTCCAGCACGTCATCCCTGACGAGCTGTGGCAGGCCACCCCCGAGCGGGTCAGCGCGCGCGCCTGCGACGAGTTGCCCCAGCATTTGCAGCGCACAGTCGTCGGCAAGATGATGGAGCGGGACATGCTGGACCTGGGGCAACAGTACGACCGCTTCGCAATCACCCTCGAGCTCAGCCTGTGCGAGGGCATCGGCATCCCAGAGGAAGAGCGTGGACGACATCTCGGGCACAGCAGGCCCCCGAGCTACAAGAGCGTGAGCATCAAGGGCGCCGTCACCTTTACGCCATGGGCATGGGGTCGAAAGGAAGATCCACGCGCGGTGGGCGGAGATCTCCTCCTTGGTGCGGCAGCTCTCGCACCATGATGCCCGAGCGCAGGAGGCAGCAGCAAGTCGACAGGGCAAGACCCAGGCACTTCCCGATGAGGACTCAGGAGGTGGACAGGGCCCGTCGGCGTCGGAGCTTGGCCCCGTCATGTCTGGCAGCCAGGTAGGCCACGAAGGCGGGGCTCCCGCGCCAGCCATGAGCCCATCGAAGAGCTCGGGAGGAAGCTCGGGGGTTCGCGCCCCCACCGAGCGGGGTGAGGGCCCTCCCGAGCTGCAGCGGCGGCGTGCAGGCAGTGGAGGCGCAGCAGGAGGCGGCGGCAGTAGCACCAAGGACATCGCGAATCAGCCAGCACTTGAGGAGGTCTCCCCTCAGGCTGAGGTCCAGGAGCTCACAGAGGGGCCAGCCCAAGAGAGCCCAGAGCGACCCTGCCTCAGCCCAGCATCGCCGCCAAAGGACGCGTCCTGGACCTCCGAGACGGGCACAGCTTTCCAAGAGATGAGGGCGAGGCGGCCTGGCCCAGAGAAAGAGGCAGGCCCTTCCTCACTCTCCTTGGGGTACCCATCCCCCACACAGGCGAGCGCAGCGGGCCGTGGGAAGGCAGCTGGCCCCTGCTCTGAGATGGGTCAGGGGTTCCTGTTCCCCGAGTGCGCCGCCACGGGACGCGCCCCAGACCTCGACGTGGGACCGACCCACAACAGCGCAGACAGCTGCACAGAAGGGATGCAGAGGGGTGCCCTTCCCCCACCAGCAGGACGCAACACCATGGACATCCAAGATCACGACCCCTTCGAGGATGAGGAGGACTACTTGGAGTACCGCCAGGAGATCGCAGACCAGGAGAACAGCGATGGGTACCACCAGCACATCGAGGGGCAGCAGGACAGCCTCGACTTCGGCCAGACCGTTCGCCGTCGTGCAGCTGGATCTGCTTTTCCCCCACCAGCAGGACGCAGCACCATGGGCGTCCAAGACCACGACCCCTTCGAGGAGGAGGAGGACTGCTTGCAGTACCGCCAGGAGACCGCAGATCAGGAGGACTGCGACGGGCACCACCAGCTCATCGAGGGGCAGCAGGACAGCATCGACTACGGCCAGACCGTTCGCCGTCATGCGGCAGGATCTGGTAAAACTGCCCCAGGTGACACGCACTGCTCACCTCCTCAGCCAGCTGGCACTCTGGAGGCAGAGGGCACCGATCACCTGGGGAGTCAGAACCAAGAGCCGCCAGGCCCAGAGGCAGAGGAGCAACGAGATATGGGCCTGCCCCCACCAGACCTCTGGAATGATGACCAGCACCAGCGGGAGCGGGAAGACTACGTGGCCATGAGAGACGACCTGGAGTACTGGGCGGCCATCTGGATGGATAACTTGGTGCAGCTCCCCACGGACAACAGCAACTGGATGCAGATCTGCGCGCCGTTCCTGGAGACCATCTTGGGTGGCGGAGGCAACAATGGCATGGTGAGACTGCTCAGGCGTAGGTGCCAGCAGGCCGGCCGCAGCCACATCATCAGGGACCTCTGCGAGCGAGCATGGAGACATGCAGAACCACGACGCCGAGGCTTTCTCCAAGGTCTTACGCGAGAGGAGCCGACGAGGAGGCACGAATTGGAAATTATGCATTGGAGGGAGCTTGCTAACCTGCGGAGGTTTATGCGAGAAGTTATAGGCGAACGAGCGCCAGAAGGAGCAGCGCGAAGACAACTACATGATGCTCCAGGAACAGGCAGTGGCCCGAGTAGCCGCCGAGAGCTGCAGGTCCGCACCCACAGCGGCCACCAGACGCAGCAGCAGATCAACACAAGACGGCAGCTCGCGCAGCAGCTCAACCAGCCTGACCCAGGCAGGCTGAACGAAGAAGGTGCAGCCAAGGACCAGCAGCAGGCCCTCCTCACAGACCTGCACGCGATAGCAGAGGGCGCCCTCGTGGACCCAGGGACGATCAGCAGGGTAGCAGAGGAGGTAAAGAGCATGGCCAAGCTACTCACAAAGGCGGTGAAGAAGGCGTACATCTACTGGGTGCACGACGCCACGGCAGGCAGTGCGAAGATGGCCCACGCCTACACCAAGGCAGCGGAGCGCAGCCACCTGGAGGACATCCTTGAGCACGAGGGCCAGGTCATCAACCACCCGCAGCAGCTGGTGGACTTGCGCAAAGAGGCATGGCAACGCAGGTGGACACGAGATGCACAGAAGGCCGAGAGGATCCAAGAGGCGCTGGCCAAGCTGAGGCAGGCTGCCTTGGCCCAAGAGAATGCCCTCGAGCCCATCAGCAAGGACATCATCGGCTCCATCATCCAGCACCTGAAGCGCAATGCTGGCCAAGGAGCGGACTGGTGGAGGGCTCCAGAGCTCAAGGCCATGGGCGCCCAGGGGCTGGAAGACTTCGTGCAGTGCCTGACCAGCTGTGAGCAACGGGCAGCGTGGCCGTGGCAATTCTACTTGGTGCTGGAGCTGCTGCTGGGCAAGAAGCCAGGAATCGGCGGTGAGCGCCCCATCGGCCTCATGCCCATGCCGCACCGCATCTGGAGCGCAGCCAGGAGGCCCATAGTAGCCACCTGGAGCAAGGCAGCGGCGGGCTTCTGGGATACGGCAGTAGCTGGCTCCTCAGCGCTACGAATGGCAATGCACAGACTGATGAGGGCAGAAGCCGCCACGGAGATGGGCTTTCATGCAGCAGGAGTGTTCTACGACGCGGCAAACTTCTACGACAATATAGGCCTCGACCAGCTGATCGAGAAGGCCAGCGCCCTCCAGTACCCGTTGCTGCCGCTGGCAATGGCCGTGCAGATGTACCTTGCGCCCAGGGCCATCATGGCCCACAGCCTCTTCTCGGACATTTTCGAGCCTGCCAACAGCATGGTAGCTGGCTGTGGTCAAGCGGTCGCCCTCGCCAGACCGCTCTTGTATGGCATCCTGGATGCAGCGCACAGGCACCACATCTTCGTCGTCATGCAGCAGTACCTGGACGACTTGGCCCTGCAGGTAGAGGGTGCGCGGCGGCAGGTCATTGACCAGATCAAGCACGTGGCAGCGCTGGTGCACGATGGATTCAAGCAGCTCTCGATACCCATCCCCGGCAAGACGGCAGCGGTGGCCCCGGACAAGGACCTCCAGGCAGAAGTCGCCAGCATCCTGGACAGCCTGGGCACCCCCAACAAGCAACCAGGTGTAGTGCGCGACCTCGGCGTGGACACCAGCCTCGGCAAGCAGCTGCGGCGACCCACCCATGCCGCGCGCCAGGCCAAGGCCAAGCAGAGGGTGGCCAAGCTCAAGGACCTAGCGAAGACGGACGCCAGAGGCGCGGCAAAGGTCTATTCAGCAGGTGCCTACTGCCAGCAGGCCTGGGACTTACCAGCGCACGGCATCACGCCCACGGAGGCGAAGTCGGTCAGGGCTACGGGGGCAGCTCTCCTCACAGGCGGACACAAGGCTGGACGCTGCACGTCCACCATCCTCCTGATCCAGAGGGGGATGCAAGAGGCAGTAACCCGAGCCATCGGCGACCAGATCAAGCAGTTCTGGCTCACCATAGTCGACCACCCGACGGAGCTCAAGAGGTACCAGAGAGGCTGGCTCCTGCTCTACGCCAAGCTGGGCGCCCTGGAACCCAACCGCAGGTGGCAGCAGGTCAAGGGGCCTATGGCAGGGGTCATCGCGCAGCTGCTTGGGTTAGGCTGGATACCGCGACGCCTGGACAGCTGGATCAGCCCAGCAGGTGACGAGTGGGCCTACAAGCCAGATGACATTCCTCACTTCGGCGCGCTCCTGCATGAAGTCCAGCAGAGCGCGCAGCAGCAGCTCTGGCAGCAGGCAGCTGGCCACCGCAGTGGAGAAGGACTTCAGGCTGGAGGCGACCTCTATCAGCTGCAGCGCCACCTGAGGAGGAGGAGGCGCAAAGGACAGCATGCAGAGGCAGCCATGCTGGAGACCATAGCGGTGGCGGGCATATGGACCAGGGAGCGTCGCAGGGCGGCCAACCTCAACCACGAAGGCGACGACACCTGCGCGAGATGCGGCGAGGCGATAGAGACAGAGGAACACCGCTACTACGCATGCCCTGCCAACGCAGAGATAGGGCACAGCAGTGACACCGACCTGGCGAAGAAGGCGAAGGACGCGCTGGACCAGCGGCAAGACCTGCACTTCTGGCTCCGAGGCATCCCGCCAGCGGCCTGGGCAGCCAAGGTCGACCCAGGCGAGGACGCGGCGAAGGCGGCGCAGATCTTCTGCGCCAGCGAAGAGGCTCAGGCGGCAGCCCAGTCAGGGTACAAGGTTCGAGCAGACTATGTCTTCACGGACGGCTCAGGTGGTGCAGGGGAAACGGCCAAGGACCCCCGCCTCAGACGCTGCGGCTGGGCAGTGGTGGCTTTCAGGTTCGACGAACAAGGACGTCCGCAGGAAGTTGCCGCCTGGTACGGCACGATCAGGGCACCGCGCACGGTGCCACGGGCAGAGCTCACCGCCATGAGCAAAGCCATCGGGTACACCACGGCGGCGACAGCCAGGGGGCTCAACATAGTCAGCGATTGCAAGTACGCCCTGGACGCACTCAAGCAGATCCAGGATCCTGAGGATCTGGACGACAGGAGCACGAACTACGACCTCTGGCTCCAGACGAAGCAGCAGCTGCAGCACAGCACGGACACCATCATGGGCCACCACATCCCAAGCCACCTGATTGAGCACCCAGCCGAGATGGAGAGGTGGAATGGTCCCACCTGGTGGGTCATAGGAAACGAGATGGCAGACAAGTGCGCAGGCTGGGGAGCGGAGCATGGAGCACTGGATCCAGCCATCATCGCGCAGCAGCAGATCAGGGACCAGATCACCACGGCGGTGCAAAACCGGCTGCTGGCCATCAACATGGCGGTGGCGGTGGAGGACCCCAACAAGGCCCCTCAGCGTCCCAAGACCAAGCGCCGAAAGCCGCAGACGGCGAGGGACAGGGCAGCCCAGCTGGGACACGACTTGCGCAAGCTACATCCGCGATGGTGGTGTGCAACGTGTCGCAGTGGCCCAGCCAAAGGACAAAGCATCAGAGACTGGCTGGCAGGGGCGGGAGAATGCCTCGGGAGGTACGGCGGCCACCAGGACCAGCACGGCAACGTCAGGCTCGACTTCAAGGCGGTGCAGATCGGCATGCAGGTGGTGCACGTCTCCCACAAGACGCAGTTCACCCATGGCTGGCTCTGGTGCGAGAAATGTGGCGGCACCAGCTACCTTGGGGACCACAAGAGCAGGATCGTGGCAGGAGTGGCAAGGAAGCTGGCAAGGCCATGTCAGCCCCCAACAGCAGCAGGGCGGCGGGTCTTGGCGGACATGCAGAGGGGCAAGCTGCCAAGAGGAGCTAAGCCAGCAGCAGACCCAGCTGATGAGGGTCTCAACGAGATCACCATGCCTGGATTTCAAGCTCGGCCTGAGTAACCACGAGGCGATCGACCTGGACGGGGGCAGCTCAGAGGCAGGGGGCCCGCAGCCAGCTCCACAGCAGCCACCCAGCCATCCGCACTCTGTCGTCCACGCCAGCTGGAGGCTCGTGGACCACATGGAGGGCTACGCGGAGCAGTGGATGAACATGGTCGACCAAGAGGTCTGGGACGACATGGACGACTGGATGGAGCACTGCGTACCGTACCTCCTGGCCATCACCAATGTGGGTGGCGGAACGGACACGCAAGAGCAGACCAGGGCCGTCACCGTGCAGGAGCTTCAGCAGATCAAGGACTTCTGCGAAGAAGTCTGGCGCAACACGCACCGCACGCGACGGAGGCTCATGACCAGGATGCTCACCCTCCCGTACGGTACAAGGCAGCAGGCAGCAAGAGTGCACATGGACGCCTTCCAGAACAGAAGGAACTACATCCTAGCGCACAGCATCCCCAGCAGCGAGCGCAGGCCGCTGCCGAGAACAGCGGAGGCCAGCCGAGCGTGGTCACCAGAGAACCTGGACGATGATGACTCGACCCCAGACAGTGAAGCCCCAGAGCTGGAGGGTGAGCCGAGCAACCAGGAGATGGAGACCATGGCAGGACCTGATCAGAGGCACGACGCCAACAGCCTGATGCAGACGGCTGTGCAGGTGGCAGTAACGCTGACCAAGCCAGTGGGGCCCGACCTGATGAAGTTCGTGAGCGAAGCCGATGAGGCCGGCCTGCTCCACCCAAGGCTTCGACACAACAAAGGAGAAGCTGACCAGGACCCCGAGCAGGAGGTGGCGTGGCTCGAGAGGAACAGGCTCGAGCAGCTCATGCAGTCGCTGGCAGGCTGCTGGAGCCAGAAAGAGGGCGAACAGGGCTGGCCATCGTGGCAGGCTGCGTGCGTGCCCCATGTGCTGAGGGCGCTGCAGACTGGCGTCTACCAGAGGCTGTTCAGCAACGTGTCAGGGCCGAGCCGCCAGCGCAGCCAGCGCCGAGCGGCGGAGGAGATCTGCCGCCTGGCATGGCTCAACAGCGGAGAGGCGCGCAGGCAGATCCAGCAGCAGGACCCGAAGGAGACAGAGCGGCGCAGAGCAATGGCTGAGCAGTTCCTGGACGTGACTGAGCCAGTGGTGAGGAGCCGCAGCCCGCGACCGCAAGCAGCAGTGCGAGTGCCAAGCAGGGCTCCAGCCAGACAGCCGAGGAGGAACCCAGAGGCCAGGGCCACCAGCAGCCCCGCCGAGCTGCGCACGGCAACGCCAGCGCCCGAGCTCGAGAGGCCCAGGGAACCCAGGGTACCGCAGCCAGAGCGGTCCCTGGAGGCGGGGAGGGCGGAGGAGCAGCAGAAACCCTCCAGCAGGCCCCTGTGCGGAGAGGGGGCAGGCCACCATGGACCCCTGCGCGGCGAGGGGGTAGGCCGCAGAGGACCCCAGCGTGGCGAGGGGTTAGGCCACAGCCCTGCGCCAGACGGGATGCAGAGGGGTGCCCGTCCCCCACAAGCAGGACGGGGCACCATGGACATGGCAGACCTCGACCACTTCCTTGAAGAGGAGAACAGCGAGGACTGCCTCCAGCAGCCCGTAGACAAGCAGGACAGCGATGACAACCACCAGCAGATCCCATATGTACAGCACAGCATAGGGTACCACCTGGCAGACCGCAGAGGACCCCAGCGTGGCGAGGGGTTGGGCCACGGAGGACCCCAGCGCGGTGAGGGGTTAGACCGCAGTGCCAAAGGCAAGCAGATGCTCGAGGCGGAGGTCCCTGACGAGCCCAGTGAGCATGACGCGGACGTTTTGACCAACAGCGTGGTAGACAGGACCTCGCAACTAACAGAGCGGACCCATACCCTGGGAAACCGACAGACTGAACGCGAGGGGGAGGGCTTGGCCCGCGGATACCACGTGAACCGCGAACGCAGCGAGTGGCATAGTCGGGGGACCTCGCCCGAGCCAGTGGGCAGTAGCACCGAGGATGGGGACAGTGCGAGACTCGGCGTTCCCCCGCGTGGCGAGGGGTTAGGCCACCAAACTGCGCAGCCCGAGACGACGGCAGACTGCGACGACACAGACCTGCAGCGGGACTTGGAGAAGTTTTGTCTGCGACGTTCCCCAGCGCGGTGAGGGGTTAGACCGCATGGAACCCCTGCGCGGCGAGGGGTTAGGCCACGGCAATCCCCTGCGCGGTGAGGGGGTAGACCGCAGTGGCAAAGGCAAGCAGAGGCTCGAGGCGGAGGTCCCTGATGAGCCCAGTGAGCATGACGCGGACCTTTTGACCAACAGTGTGGTAGACAGGACCTCGCAACTAACAGGGCGGACCCATACCCTGGGAAACCGACAGACTGAACGCGAGGGGGAGGGCTCGGCCCGCGGATGCCACGCGAACCGCGAACACAGCGAGTGGCATAGTCGGGGGACCTCGCCCGAGCCAGTGGGCAGTAGCACCGAGGACGGGGACAGTGCGAGACTCGGCGTACCCCCGCGCGGTGAGGGGTTAGACCGCAGCAGGCCCCAGCGTGGCGAGGGGTTAGGCCACGGAGTACCCCAGCGCGGTGAGGGGTTAGACCGCAACGATCCCCAGCGTGGCGAGGGGTTAGGCCACGGCGGGCCCCATAGTGGTGAGGGGTTAGATCGCAGCAGGCCCCTGCGTGGCGAGGGGTTAGGCCACATGGGGCCCCAGCGCGGTGAGGGGTTAGACCGCAATAGGCCCCTGCGTGGCGAGGGGTTAGGCCACGGAGCACCCCAGCGCGGTGAGGGGTTAGACCGCAACGATCCCCAGCGTGGCGAGGGGTTAGGCCACGGCGGACCCCATAGTGGTGAGGGGTCAGACCGCGCCGGCCCCCAGTGTGGCGAGGGGTCAGGCCACGACGGACCCCAGCGCGGTGAGGGGTTAGACCGCAACAGACCCCTGCGCGGCGAGGGGTTAGGCCACCACGGAGCACCCCAGCGCGGTGAGGGGCCAGACCGCAGCAGGCCCCAGCGCGGCGAGGGGTTAGGTCACGGAGGACCCCTGCGCGGCGAGGGGCTAGGCCGCAATGCACCCCAGCGTGGCGAGGGGTTAGGCCACAGCCCTGCGCCAGGCAAGGCGGCCGTGAAGGCCCACGAGCCCAGGGACCAGCGGCCAGGGCGGTCCCTGGAAGAGCGCAGGGCGGAGGAGCGGCTGCGGCCGTCCATCAGGCTGCTCCTCAAGCTCTGAGAGGGCGGCGGCAGCATATCTTCACACTGCCGCCGCTCACGGGGCGACTCCATGAGTCTTTGAGTGGCGGCAGTGCGACGCCGTGAGATGAGGCCGCTGGCCCACCCCGCCTCGGGCCGTTCTGCCTGCGCGGGGTGCCGAGACCAGGGGCACCCACTCACGGGCGGGAGCACGCGGGTTTAAACTCCTCCTCCTCCTCCTCCTCCTCCTCCTCCTCCTCCTCCCCCTGCTCGTCCTCCTGGGGGCCGCTGCCACCTCTGGGAAAGCTCTTTCGCCTTCACCCCGCCAACGATGTTTTCTGGAACCCGCCCCTCGGCGGCCGCCGCCAGCGAACCACTCGATTTGTTGTCGAACCCACCCCCAGCCAACGCGGCGTGGGGAAGGGTATATTTGGATAATATCTAAAAAAGCCCTTCCTGGGCAGCGGAGCTGAGGAAGAGTCTTACCATGTACCCTAATGGGGTTGAATGTATAATTCTACCCTTGTTTCAAAGCCAACATTTTCAGGGAAAGACAGTGGTGCAGAAGCATGCCCGCTTCGTCTTATCACGACAGGCTGATATGACATAATACGAAGACATGTCTCAATGGGTACATTCGTCTGGTGTAGATCGAACGTATTGAGCGATCAACTGATGCATGCGAAATATTACGATGGTGCCTCTCCCCCAGGTATGCCCGTTAGGGCCCCCATGCAGGGTATGAGGCAATACCTGTCCAAGATGCTGCCTGGCCTTGCTGGATGTCGTTGTCTTGCCGCTGTGTAATGCTGCAGTTGTGCTCGTATCCAGTGCCACTTCCCCAAGTATGCCCCTTAGGGTTCCCATGCAGGGCATGAGGCTGGTTGTTGTCAGGGAGTCGAATCGTCGTGCTTGCTTATTGTGTGAGAGTGCTGTGTGGAGAGGTGCCGCGTGAGGTTGTGCTGTGTAGGCTTGCTGGGGTTTGCTGCGTAGCGTCTTCTTGAACCTTCCTTGTGTAAGTAGGGTAATGAAACGATGTCCCATTTGTGGTTGTCACATTGTCAAGACAGCAATGTCTTGTGAAGACAACCTTGCACACGTACTTGACCTCCTTCTTCGCTTGTGATATGCGTATATGGCTACATGTGACTGACAGCATCGTCGGGTAATGTACTTTCATTGCTTCCAGACTTGTCTGATCTGATATCTTGTCAAACCAGGTCGTATCGTCGTGGTTGTCGCTGTGGTGGCGTAGTGTTGCTTAGTGTTGTTTGTCTGTGTGATGCTCCTCCTCCTCCTCCTCCTCCCCCTCCCCCCTCCTCCCTCCTCCCTCCTCCTCCTCCTCCTCCTCCTCCTCCTCCTCCTCCTCCTCCTCCTCCTCCTCCTCCTCCTCCTCCTCCTCCTCCTCCTCCCTCTCCCAGACACCTCCAGACCTCCAACGTCTTGAGAAGCTCGAAGCGGAGTTTTTTTCGCAACTTCCGGCCTTTTGGGGCCCTCGCCGGGCCATTGGGCCGTAACCAAATCATTCGAGATGGTAAAAAACAAGCCCAGGGGAATGGATCCACACTTCTTGAGGTCAAAATTTTGATACTACTCACGTTCGGCGGTCCGCGCGGATTTCTCGGATCGTCGCCGCCGGCGTCCGAGCGGGTAGCACGACCGCCGACGGAGACGGCGTCGAGCACCACCACGACGAGGTGTGGCCACCCCTCGGCGGGATGCGGTTTTTTCGTACCTCCTCCTCCTCCTCCTCCTCCTCCTCCTCCTCCTGCTCGTCCTCCTCCTTCTGCTCGTCCTCCTCCTCCTCCTCCTCCTCCTCCTCCTCCTCCCTCTCCTCCTCCTCCTCCTCCTCCTCCTCCTCCTCCTCCTCCTCCCCGGTCGCGGGTTCTCGGAGGCCCCCGCGGCCCCCTGGAGCTTTTAAGGCGGCGCCGAGCGGCCCGGGCAGCGGTGCACAGGCCGGCGGCGGCATCCGCCGACGTCGCCATCGCGGCGGCCGTCGCCGCCCTCGTCGTCGTCGTCGTCGTCGTCGTCGTCGTCGTCGTCAGTCGTCGTCGTCGTCGTCGTCGTCGTCGTCGTCGTCAGTCGTCGACGTCGTTGTCGGCGTCGTCGTCGTCGTTGCCGTCGTCGTCCCCGTCGCCGCCGTCGAGGTCGCCGCCGTCGCCGTCGGCGTCGCCGCCGAGGCCGCCGCCGCCGCCGTCGTCGATCGAGGAGGGGCCTCTCTTTTTTTGTCCGCGCCAAGGGGGGGGGGGGCTCGCTCAATTTCTCCTCGGCCTCCTCCTCTTCAGACTCTTCCTCCTCCTCCTCGCCTTCGTCCAACTCGTCCTCCTCTTCCTCCTCCTCCTGCTCTTCCTCCTTCTCCTCATCCTCCTCCTCTTCCGTAGCCATTTTGGCTCAAGCCTGCCTTGGGCGCCAGGCGGGCTAGGTGCTCGCCTTTTCCTCGCTTTCCTGCTGCTGCGCTCGAGAGCGGCTCTGTCTCCTTCCCCTTCGCCGCGGCTGCCGCGATGTCGGTGGGGGACGGCGCCAAGGTGGTGGCTACGGGCGGCGCTCCTGGCGCTGGCACCGCGCTAAGCGCGGTGGTGAGTGCGGCCGTGCAGGCCATCACCTGCGCGCCGTGCTCCAACGGGCGGGCCAAGCTGCTCGTGGCGGCGGTCGTCCGCGCTGCCGCGGCTCCCGGTGGCGGTGGAGGCGACCCCGATGTCGAGGAGGAGGTGGCTGCCAGGCTCGGCCGCATCGCGCCCGTGCTGCGGGAGCGCACGCGGGCTGGCAAGGCCGGCGTCGAGGCGGTCATCACGGGTGGCAGGCGCACACTGCGCAACCACTCGTCGCACGCCGACTTCGGGTGCGGCGCGGCGGAGCTCCCCAAGACCGCCGCGGAGGCCAAGGAGCGCGTGCAGCTTGGGCGCGGTGGTATTCGTCGGCCACAAGGTGTGGCTGCCACCCGCGCCGCGGCTGCGAAGCTGGAGTCCAACGAGATGATG